GAGTGTCAACTTGGACTGTGAGCTCAGTCGCGACAAGGATGCTTGGAGTCCTGTAGCTCAGTGGTTAGAGCACTTGCTTTGCAAGTGAGAGACCTGAGTTCAATTCCAGGCACAGGGCGAAACCTTGGGCAAGTTTCCTTACTCCACACAGAGCCTAATAATAATCCCTCCAAAACAAAAACAATAATAAATTGGTCATTTTCAATCTCCGACTGTTTGTGGGACATTGCTGTGCGCAATTGGCTGCCGCGTTCGCCCACAAATATACAGTCAATTCACTTTACAGTGTGTTCTGTGAAGCGCTTTGGGACGTCCTCCCGACGTGAAAAGCGCTATATCAAATGCAAGGATTATGATTATGATTATTATTATTGAACAACTTGCATCTATGTAGCCCCCTTCCTGCAGGGTAGTGTCCAGGAGTACTGTAGGAGTAGGAGTTGGAGTGCTTCGCCTCTTTGCCTGTCCGGTGACCGTGGGCGGATACGATGACAGGCAAAGAGGGGTTGATTGCAGAGGGATTGAGGAAGGGAGTGACAGGTTTGGAGTGGATTGTCTGAAGGCACAGCCTCCAATGATGGAGTGGAGGGGTTGAGGGTTGGTGTGGAAGGCCTGGGGGGGGGGGTGGGGTGGGGGGTCTAGGAAGGTGCGGGAGGCCTGAGCGATGAATAGTTTGGAGAGGTAGGGAGATGCTCGGCATGAACCAGGCGAGCGTGAGGATCTTGAACGCGGGACCTTAGAGGTAAAGGGTGGAAAGTACTGAGCCAAGTGTGTGTGTGTGGGTGGGGGGGGTGGGGGGGGGGGTGTGTGGGGGTGGGGGGGGCGGTGGATTTTGCTGTGCACTGGGGTCATATTGACGATTAAGCTGTTGCAATGCTCTCGTCTCTCTGAGTGCTGAGGATCACACGTTGGACAGAGCTGCATTTTGGCTCTCTCAGTACTTTTCTTTTGAGGGGGGAGGGGGGGAGGGGATGGGGGGGGGAGGGGAGGGGGGGGGAGGGGGGGGGGGAGTGAGTGGAGGGGGGAGGGGGAAGGGGGAGTGAGTGGAGGGTGTCCTGTTGATACTGAACGTGCTGCTGTGGTGTTGGATCCCCTCCTCCTCGTTCGGTGGTAGTGCTTAGTGAACGAGAGCCGCCTCCCCCCCCCCCCCCCCCACACACACACTCCACCCCTCTCCCCCCACACTCCCTCCCCCCCCCCGTGTCCGGGTCTACGTTACCCGAGTCACGTAGGCGAGATCGGGTGCTTCCTTCATCTGATTCCGGGACTCGCACCGCCACCGTGCGGTGCATTTCCCCCCCCACCCCCCCCCTCCCCAACCCCCACCACCCAACCCCCCCCTACACCCCCCCACCCCAACCCCCCCCCACCAACCCCCCCCCCCCCCCACCACCCACCCCCCCCCCCCCCACCCCAACCCCCCCACCACCCCCCCCCCCCCCCCCCCCACCACCCCAACCCCCCCCACCACTACACGCCCCCCACCCCAACCCCCCCACCCCAACCCCCCCCACCACACCCCCCCCACCCCAACCCCCCCCACCACACCCCCCCCACCCCAACCCCCCCACCACACCCCCCACCACCCCAACCCCCCCACCACACACCCCACCACACACCCCCCCACCACACACCCCCCCACCCCAACCCCCCCACTACACCCCCTCCCGCAATTCAGGCGGGATTGCCCGAGCGGATCCTTGGGAGCCAGATTTCACGTGGAAACCCCCCCCCCCACCCCCGACCCCCCCCGGAGCGCCCCGAGCGGTGCAGCGCAGAGCGGTGCAGAGCTCCTGTGGGCGCAGTTGCTGCTGCGAATGATAAGAGAGTGAGAGAGAGAGTAATGTTAATGTTTTGTTTCAGCGGCTTTTTTTTTTTCGCGTTCGTTCCCAGTTCGGAGAGAGTAAGACGCATTGTATTGCATTGCACCACCCACCCCCCCACACACACACACACACACACACCCCCCCCCACCCCCCCCCCCCCCCACACACACACACACATACACACTCCCCCCCCACACACTCCACCCCCCCCCCCACCACACACACACACACACACACACTCCCCCCACACACTCCACCCCCCCACCCCCACACACACACACACACACACACACTCCCCCCCACACACTCCACACCCCCCCCACACACCCCCCCACCCCCCCACACACACTCCACCCACCCCCCCCCACACACACACACACATACACACACCACCCCCCCCCACACACACACACACATACACACTCCCCCCCATGCACACACCCCTCCACCCCATCCCCCCCACACACACACACACACACACTCCCCCCCACACACTCCACCCCCCCCCACACACACACACACACACACACACACTCCCCCCCACACACTCCCCCCCCACACACCCCCCCCCCCCCCCACACACACACACACACTCCACACCCCCCCCACACACAGACACACTCCACCCCCCCACACACACACACACACTCCCCCCCCCCACACACACACACTCCACACCCCCCCCACACACACACACACTCCACCCCCCCCACACACACACACACACTCCAATCCCCCCCCCACACACACACTCCACCCCCCCCACACACACACACACTCCCCCCCCCCCCCACACACACACACACTCCACACCCCCCCCACACCACACACACACTCCACACCCCCTCTACACACACACACACTCCACCCCCCCCACACACACACACACTCCACCCCCCCCACACACACACACACACTCCACCCCTCTCCCCCCCCCCCCCATACACACACACACACTCCACCCCTCTCCCCCCCCCCCCACACACACACACACTCCACCCCTCTCCCCCCCCCCCCCCCCCCCGCCCCCCACACACACACACACACTCCACCCCTCTCCCCCCCCCCCACACACACACACACTCCACCCCTCTCCCCCCCCCACACACACACACTCCACCCCTCTTCCCCCCCCCACACACACACACTCCACCCCTCTCCCCCCCACACACACACACTCCACCCCTCTCCCCCCCCACACACACACACTCCACCCCTCTCCCCCCCCACACACACACACACTCCACCCCTCTCCCCCCCCCACACACACACACTCCACATAACCCTCCCCCCCCCCACACACACACACACACTCCACCACTCTCCCCCACACACACACACTCCACCCTCTCTTCCCCCCCCTCCACACACAGACACACTCCACCCCTCTCCCCCCCCCCCCACACACACACACACTCCACCCCTCTCCCCCCCCCCACACACACACTCCACCCTTCTCCCCCCCCCCCACACACACTCCACTCCTCTCCCAACACACACACTCCACCCCTCTCCCCCCCCCACACACACACACACTCCACCCCCCCCACACACACACACACACTCCACTCCCCCCACCCCCCCACACACACACACACTCCACCCCTCTCCCCCACACACACACACTCCACCCCTCTCTTCCCCCCACACACACACTCCACCCCTCTCCCCCCCCCCCCACACACACTCCACCCCTCTCCCCCCCCCCCCCCCCACACACACACACACTCCACCCCTCTCCCCCCCCCCCCCCCACACACACACACACACTCCACCACTCTCCCCCACACACACACACTCCACCCCTCTCTTCCCCCCCCCTCCACACACACACACACTCCACCCCTCCCTCCCCCCCACACACACACACACACTCCACCACTCTCCCCCCCACACACACACTCCACTCCTCTCCCCACACACACACTCCACCCCTCTCCCCCCACACACTCCACTCCTCTCCCCACACACACACTCCACCCCTCTCCCCACACACACACTCCACCCCTCTCCCCCCCCCCACACACACACTCCACCCCTCTCCCCACGCACGTTTCGCAAACGCCTCCAGTCCAGGGAGTGAGGAGCTGTCGGAACATTAATCGGTACCTGTTCGCTGGTTTTGTTGAATCATTGCGTTTCTCCCCACTTTTCCAGCAGCATGAGTTAATTTCTCTCCACCCCCCCACTCCCCTCCTTCCTTCACTTTCTGATGTTGTGGATGTCTCTTGTTTTGCTCAGTTCGTCACACTCTTCTTGCCACTGAGGTTTGTGAGTTCATGCCCCCCAGACACCCTACCCACACACACACACATACACACACAGAAAGAGAGACAGAGAGAAAGGAAGAGAGACAGAGAGAGAGAGAGAGATACAGAAAGAGACAGACACACAGACAGATAAACAAATGCAAAATTCTGCAGATGCTGGAAATCTGAAACCAAAAAACAGAGGTCGCTGGGAACACTCAGCAGGTCAGGCAGCATCTATGGAGAAAGGAAAGTGAGTCAACGTTTCGGTCCACGACCCTTCATCAGAACAGTCCGACCGTATCTTACCCCAAAATGCAGCCAAAACCCTCATGTCACCTCCCGTCAGGATTACTCCAACGCACTCCTCGCCGGTCTCCTCAGCTCCACTATTCAAAAGATACAGCTCATTCAGAACTTTGCCTCCCACGTACTTACTTGGACCAATTCCGTACTCGCATCTCACCAGTTCTGGCCCAGGCTCCACTGGCTCCCCATCACCGAAAGGATCGACTTCATGATCCCCATACTCGTGTTCAAATCCCTTCACTCTCTGGCACCTCCCTACCTCTCTGACCTCCTCATTCCCCAATCCACCACCCAGCGACTCCGCTCTACCGGCCTCCTGCTCGTCCCTTGCACCCTCCACCCCACTATCGGAGCTGGCGCTTTCAGCCACTATGCCCCGAAACTCTGGAACACTCCCTCAATCAATCCGCCTTGTCCCCTCCTGCTCCTATTTCTTATGGAATGAGCAAGGGTTGGGTTAAGGATAGGATAACTTATATAGGAACTGGGCTTGATGCGCTCTTTCTCCATGGACTGCTTACTCTTCTTCAAAACTTGTATGCCAAGGGTTAATAAACACACATTACGCAGAAGGATGAAATCAACATTAATTTTCATCTTGTTCCTTTTTTTTCAGGAACCTGTGGTGTTGACGGACACCAATCTCGTATACCCAGCTCTGAAATGGGACTTGGACTACTTGCAGGAAAACATTGGAACTGGGGACTTCTCTGTTTACATCGCCAAAACACATAAGTTCTTGTACTACGATGAAAAGAAAATGGTTAACTTTAAGAACTTCAAGCCAAAGTCTAGGCGGGAAGAGATGAAATTCAGCGAGTTTGTGGAAAAGCTTCATAAGATAGAAGAAGTGGGAGGTGATGACAGGTAAATGAAGAACGAATGAAGAACGTCTTGCGTGTGGTTAATTTGTTCCCACTGAAAGCCTGTAGAGACGTATAAGGACTATTTAGTATTTGGGTGGGTGCTGTGACAGCATCACAGATCTTGTTTCTGCCTTACTGTTTGTTTCACTTTCTCAAATCCAGGGGCACTGAGGTAAATGGTAGAGCTCTCCTGCCACTCCATTTTAAATCAACTAATTCAAGAGATTGAACCTGGGCTCTTGATTTCTGCTGTGCTCAGTGCCTCACGACAATGTATTTTCACACTGAGCTATTAACGTAGCAAGCTTATCTGTGTAATCTTCCAGGAAAGCAATGTCTGCCATCCATGAGGTTGCACCCTTTCACTCCCTTCTAAGTTACAGTAGCAGAAAGCATTCTGTTTGCCACAAAGTTGGTGTATGTTTCACAAAGGAACTAGGTGAAGGGCCAAGGTCCTTAGTGCAGTTATAATGGTTCAATAGAGTAGCCGCAAAAAAGATATCGAGGTTTGGGAAGGTGCTGACAAGCTTTGATATTGCAAACCTGTAGATTGTAGAAGATTGTAGATTGTAAAGAGGTAAGGTCTAGAGATTCCAGGAAAGAATGAGTTGTAAAGAAAGAAATGCAATGATTTTGATTACAAATCATGAGGATGCAGAGAGGAGGAGAAAGCATGAAAGCACGGAGCATGGGAGAGCCAAGAAAAAAGAGGATAAGAGCAATGACCACAGTAATATGCAATGACATCTTGCACTTATATAGTGCGTTTCACATAGCATGAATATCATAAAGCACTTTACAATGACAATATACAGTCAATTCACTGTACAGTGTATTTTGTGAAGTGCTTTGAGACGTCTTTAAAGACGTAATAGGGTGCTATATCAAATGCAAGAATTATTATTATTTTATAATGGGGTTCCTTGAGGAGGGGCAGTTTGCTCCTGAGCACAGTCAAGGGGATGCATTTTTAGTAAAGTTTTCAAGGCACTTGGGGAGAGATGTTGCCATGACATAGCGGGATTGAGGAAGTAAGGAATAAGCAGCAGACCAAATTTGGAAGTGGAGTATGAACAAAGTAGAGAATGACCTGATGGTGGTGGATGTTGACGAGGACGGGGGCATTTTGAGGGCAGCGAGATGGAGGGGATGAAGGCTGAGAGAAAATAGCAGGCACACGCAAACACTATCTTGTCGGCTTTGTTTCTACTCAATAGCCTGACAATGGTGCCAAGGCAATTGTATTCCCCCAAAACCACGTGAGCAGTCTTTATGGCTGATAGTATAACTCTCCAAACTGGACAGACCCCACCTGGAAAATTTGAGCATTCCCCATGTGTGGGTGATGAATGATGAAGTCAGCATTCTCTACAGATGCAGTGCTTCTTCTGATTACCGTGGACTTAAACTTCACCTGTATTCAACTGCATTTCATCAAATCACTTTGCAGACGTGTTCGGTGGCAAGGAAAGAGACAGGTTACATTCTGGTACTTAATGTATGGTCCACCGAGACACAGTTATTTATCTTGCAGTTCCTCTTATTCTTCAATGGTGCTGGAATGGTGCAAGTGAAGCTCTGAGTAGGGTTGCAAATTGTTAGTCATTCTTCCTCAATAACTGCATTCGATAGGTATTCATCTGAGGCTGAGGGACATTAATGGAGGCAGTGCAGAGAGGGTTTTGCTCTGTACTTTATCCTGTGCTGCTGCTGCTAACTATTGCTGGTTTTAAACAATAGGTTGAGTCAAACTAAGCCTTTCAATGTGATCTAACTAGCTGTGTTTAGTCTGCCTCTATAAGGTTCCCAACCAACACTCTTTCTGTGTGACTGACCTAGACTATAAACACAGACTGCTTCTATTGTGGGGTATTGTCCTGTTGCTGGTGGGCTGTTTTTTTTTGGGGTGGTGGGGGGGTAGTCAGCTGGATGTCTGACACATGCGGAAACCTATCACCATGCTTAAGAGTTTCCAAACCAAGCTGAAATTTCCATGGATCCCACCTACACATGGAAATCCCAGAGATAGATTGTTGGAATGGAATGCGCACTCTCTCCCTGTATGGATGCATCCTGCGTACCTAATTCCGAAAAGTATTAGGTGCAGGTTGGCAAGAGCAAAGGAATTCGGACCCCAGAGTGTGCGTTGGGGTAACTGCTGGAGTCTAACCAGCTAAAACTCCATAGCTTGCCATTGATATAGCTTTCCTGATGCTTGTCCAGCTCGGACCACTCTACCTGTTAGGGCTTTGGCTTACTAGGGTTAACAAGAGCTGGGTGGGATGACCCCCTGCCCCCAGTGTCTGGTCTGCCCACCCAGGTCCTGCCGCTAAGTCAGGCTGGCTGGGCTGTGGAATACTGCGGACCTGCCTGGCTCAGGAACCGGACAACCGAGACCACTACAAAGGGCTCGATTCCGACATTTCATTGCCAGGCATGTCAACTTGGAGCCAGTTCAGCTCCAAGGAGACCCTGCTTACCTCCCCACCCACCCAAGGAGGATAGAGGCTGTTTTTGAAGTATTTGATACCCCTCAAAAATAGCTAAAATCCTCTTGTTTTTTTAAAAAAAACTATCCATTGAAGAATTGTGCTCGTCTGTTGCTCCAAGCTCCAATATGCTTCCAAAACAAAAGCTGTTGAGTTAATAAGTATTTAACAAGGAAACAAGAGACAAATTAGTGCACACAACTGAAATTGGTAGGTCACTGATGCTGATGACGTTTTTCGCTAAAATCATTATCTTGCAACAGCCAAACAATTCAACCCCTGAAACCATAAAAAGAAAACTCATGAGACTTGTGCTCACACTACACTGCTCGTGTGGTAAAGTGCTCTTAAGTCACTGATACACTACAAACGACAACAATAACTACTTGCATTTATATAGCACCCTTCGTGCGGGGTAGCGTCCCAGAGCGCTTGACAGTGGCAGAGGCTAACAATGAGCCAGGGGAGAAGGAGGGGGCAGGTGACCGAAAGCACAATCAAAAAGTAAGGTCTTTAGGCGGGATTTGAACGTGGGGAGGGAGGAGGTAAGGCGGAGAGATTGAAGGAGAGAGTTCCAAAGTTTCGGGGCGTAGTGGATGAAGGCACGGCCACCGATGGTAGAGCGGAGGGGACAAGGGATGAACAGGAGGCCGGAGCCAGCCGAGCGAAAACTTCCTGTACTGTCACTGACGCAAAACATAAGCAACTGCATAATCCCTTTGTGCACAATCACTGATGCTCAATACAAACAGTTGCTCTTGTGTAGCAACCCACAACAAGCAACTCGTTTCTGCACTGTCACTACAATACTTTTTGTTGTTTCCATTTGATAATCTACTGCTTCAGACTTGCTCCACATTCTCCACAAACTCGTACATGCAATTTGAGCTCAAAATTACTGCCTCCTCCAACCAGGAAGCTTTCATCCTCCCTGTGTGGCTGTTGGCTTGCTACTATACTAACCTGGATTCCTCTGGTACCAGGTTACCTACAAAGGTCAGATAACTTTCTCTTAAAATGCAGAGAAAGTACGCAGGTGGGAATTATGTAATCTAATAATTCCCAAATGTCTGTTATTCCATATATTGTTGTACCATATTCTCGATTTACTCCCCTGTTCTTGACGAGGTTGATGACAGCTATTTAACCCCTTCTCATTGCAGGTATTATTTGCAACAGACGCTGAACGACACGGTAGAAAAAAAGATTGTAGTGGATTTCCTGGGGTTTAATTGGAATTGGATTAACAAGCAGCAGACGAAATGGAACTGGGGGCAGCTCACATCCAACTTGCTACTCATAGGAATGGAAGGTGAGAGATCTCTTCTTTCATGCTCCCTGAGAGAAGGGATTTTTCTGGCTCAGTGCCTGTTAACCCTGCAAGCCAAAGCCATAACTGGTAGGGTGATCCTAGCTGGTCAAGCAGCAGGCAGCTTGCCAGACAGTGCTCTTATTGGCAAGATGTATGATTTGACTTGGTTGGACTCCAGCACCAACCTGAACTTGAGTCCCCAAACCTTGGCTCTTGCAACTAATATTGCCCAGAATTAGCTAAGCAGAGGGCGTTCCTCCAGGCAGAGGGTGCATATCCCATTCCAGACATGGAGATTTCCATGTGAGGATATATATACTATGTGATGCATGCATTGAAATTAGGGACCTTTTGATATTTACTTAACACACCACCCTATAGATGTGCACATTTTGACAGCACCGCTGATTCAGGTTGGTAGAGACAGGTTGCGGGGTGGGGGGGAGTTTGGTAGGCTTTTGTGATTGTGGAAGAGGTCGGGCAGTTCCTGGGATGGTGTGAACTTGGAGTTGGCATCCCTCCAGTCATCTCTGTCTGGCATTTTGCTACGTGACTTACTGGAAAGTAGGTTAAATTGAGTAACTCAGAATCTAGATGCCCATCTGTTGTACAAAGTGCAACTGCACCGCAACTCCCTTACAAAATCTCCCTTACAAAATCTCCACGCAAGCCCTTTTTTCTAAAGGGCGGCTTCTTTGACCCAATGCAAAATTTGTTGCAATTTGCAAAACTAATCAACTTTCAATAAGATGAGCCATTGATAAGAGTGACTTTTGTAGTTTCCCATGAGTTGGTAATGACATAGTTTAGCTGCAAGTTGTCTTCCCACAGGAAAATAGACCAAGGCTGATAAGCAAGCAGCCTACAATGCTTTTGCCAGGGTTACAGAATCACTGGAGACCAATTTGAAAACCGATGGGAAATGCTACAACACATGACTCAGGATGGCACAGCCACATTGCTCTGTGATGTGGATTAAGCTGGGCCACTCTATTCTTTCCCCTCACCCCACCACACCCAGTTCAGTCACTGTTATAACAAATCTTGAATTCCTTTAAAAGGGTATGGCAGTGTGTCAGCCTAGCTCATCACTCTTGCCTCTGAATCAGAAGGTTGTGGGTTCAAGCCCCACGTCAGGGCTTGGAATCACATCATCTAAGGTGACACTCCAGTGCAGCGCTGGGGGTTTGTTGCATTGTCGGAGGTGCCATCCTTTGTTGCAGTCACTTTGTTCATTCTGTCTAAATGGCTGCATTATTGCTTTGTTTTTCTTTCCCTCTTGCAGGGAATGTGACACCAGCGCACTATGACGAACAGCAGAACTTCTTTGCACAAATCAAAGGTTACAAACGTTGCATTCTCTTCCCGCCTGATCAGTTTGATTGCCTATATCCCTACCCAGTCCATCACCCTTGTGACAGACAGAGCCAGGTGAGATGTCTTTCAATAAAATTAATCCCGTTCCACCTGCATTGGGTCACCTGCCCCTACTACTACATTTCCCACGTTGCTCCAGCATCCCTGTAAAGCTCTTTGAGTCAAATACTATTTTTCTATTTTTTTTGCTAGTTTCCAATCATGATAGGGTTTCCCCTCCAGAATAAGGGGGCATAATCTGAAAATCAGAGCTAGGCCATATAAGAGTTAAATCAGGAAGCACTTTTTCACCCAAAGAGTCGTGGAAATCCAGAACTCTTTCTCCCCCCAAAAGGCTGCGGATGGTGGATCCATTCACATTTTCAAGACTGAGATGCATAGATTTTTGTTAGGCCAGGGTATCTAGGGATATAGCGCAAAGGCAGAAGTTGAGGTACAGATCAGTCACGATCTAATAGAATGGCAGAACAGGCTTGAGGGGCTAAATGTCCTACTCCTCTTCCTACATTCCTAAGTATTAAAATGTTTTAAAGCCTTTTGAACTGATTTACTTTGCACAGTTGCACTCCTAGAATCCCTGTTTGCATTTGCCTTCCCTGCTTGACTCTGGGTTGTTGGGCCTTCGGTGGCAGAACCCTGTTCAGAGAGATTCAGAGACCCGTTCCCATGGGTGAGAGCGCGAGCAATTTACATGCATTCATTCCTTTCTGCTGCTTTCCAGGTGGATTTTGAAAACCCAGATTATGAAAGGTTTCCAAATTTCAGAAATTTAGCAGGATATGAAGCAGTGGTTGGTCCTGGTGAGGTTCTGTACATTCCTATGTACTGGTAAGTGAAACTTGATATGAGACCTTCAAAACTATTACAGCATGCTGGTGCGATGGGAGGGATTAAATTTCAGAATGCAGTTGATCACCCTCTATGTAAAGAAATAACTTTCCATTATGAAATGTCCTGAAATTGCCCTTCACGCCTAAAGCTGTGCCCTCTTGTCCCGCTGCTTGGGTGAATCTGCAAATATCATTCTGCAAATAATAATAAAAAATAATAATAATAATCCTTGCAATTTGATATAGCGCTTTTCACGTCTTCTCGACGTCTCAAAGCACTTCACAGAATAGACTGTAAATATCATACTCTCTCAATCCCATTTAGCATCGTGTATAATTCTATAAGGTCTGTTTCCTATAAAAGAAGCTTAACGTATCTGGCCTGCGTTTATAAATTGGACATGAACATTAAAAATCAATGAAACTGTTGATCCCAAGGCATAATTTCTCTGCGTCCTGGCCAACTGTCTTTCAAATAAGTTGGTCATTCACTTCATAATTGTTTGTGGGACATTGGCTGCTGTATATGCATACAAGTAATCATTACACTTTACTAGCTATTACCTGTGAAGTGCTTTAAAAAGTTTTGGCATTATAATTATACCGTAAACTCATAACCCAACCCTGGCTTAACTTGTCATTAACACTTAATTCATCACCCTATCAATATCCCGGCTGCATTTATTTATTGATTTATTTATTCATACATACATGCACGCACACCACCTTGCTTCCTACCTACTGACCGACCAACCGACCTATCGACTTACCTACCTATCGACTTACCTACCTACTTAACTGGCCACTCCACATAACTTGTCATTGAGCCGTTTTACCTTGGAGTGATGAGTTATTAGGAGCTTAGTATGATCTGTAATAACCCTTGTATTTGGTTTTGCGCCCTTCATATCAGGAAGATATCCCAAAGCGCTTCACAGGATATACTATAAAGGGCAGTAACTGTGCGTGTTGTGCGTGAACTCTATTATCAACGATGTTATTATTGTGAGTTAGTGTTTAAAAAAAATTGGGGACTTTTGGTATATGTTTCAGCTCCTCTGTAGTGATTGGTTCATTGAATTACAGGTGGCATCACATTGAGTCGCTGCTAAATGGAGGAGTCACTATTACTGTCAACTTCTGGTACAAGGTAGGTGCATTGGGAAGCCAGCCAGCTTTTTAGCATCCTACTATTTGAACAGGAAAAAGAAGTCTTGTTTATTGAGTGCATGCAGTGTATTTGGAAAGCGCTGACTTGCTATAGTTCCATTTGGGTGCCTTACTCTCCAGTCCCTCTCCTAAGTGTCTATTCTTCACTTGCGTGCCCAGATACCATCAAGCTATGCAGGGTAACTGTAGGCTGAGAGGCTTGTCAACAAACACGATGCTGTCCCCACACACGCACACACCCAACTGGCTGTCAACGTGGTTAGATGTGGAGAGATGTGGAAATCCTGATTAAATTTTCCCTTTTTAATCCCAAAAGTACTAGTTGGGCTCTGCAGCATGCAGGCTTCACAACTGGGACCTTCATGATTGTTTGAATCAGTGTCACTCTGGGCAGAGGCTGTACCTACCTTGGTGGAGATTGGGGTGGGGGGGGTTGGGGAAGATAGGATAGAGGTAGGGGTAGCAGCAATAGAAATTTTGAACAAGTGACGGCATGTGGCATTGATGTGTGTTCCGTGCTTTGTGTTTCTTGCACACTTGCACACCATGCAAACTTTTTAAAAAAACTTTTAAAGGCCTGTAGGGCACAGTACTTCACTGTGGAGTAGATCTTAAACCAAGGGAAAACCATTTCCCTTTCCATAGATTGTGCGGCACAGAAACAGGCCCTCGGCCTAAATAGTCCGTGACGGCATTTATGCTGCACAAGAGTCTCTTCCCACTCCTTACTCCCTCCCATAGCCTTTTATTCCCCTCTCCCTTAAGTATGTCTAGCTTGCTTAAGTGCATATGTTAACGTTTATGCTTGTTTTAAGGGTGCACCAACCCCAAAAAGGATTGAGTACCCACTGAAAGCCCATCAGAAGGTCGCCATTATGAGGAATATAGAAAAAATGCTGGGGGAGGCTCTTGGAGAGCCACACGAGGTAATCTTTGTGTAAAGATTAACTCTAACTCTCACCGTGTAACGCAGGAGATCAGGAAAGGTACAGTCTTAAGTGGTCATTGTCATGTGGTTCTTCCACTGTCAGCAGGAAAGGGGAGTTCATCTTTGTTTATTCCTCTGCGTGCTGGAAATATCAGCTCTTGAATGGTGGTCTGAATACTTCAGACAATGCGAAGGGCCATGAGGAGCTTTATGTGGAGTCCTGTAGCGTAGTGGTTAGCGCACTCGCCTTGCAAGCGAGAGGACCCGGACTCCATTCCCAGGCAGGGCGAAACCGTAGGCAAGTTTCTTTATTTCCACATGCCTCTGTTTACCTAGCAGAAAGTAGGAACCCGGTTGTTAGTCGATTCGCGAATTGTTTTCTGGGGGTAATGATTCCTCCCTCACCCCCAAAAATGTGTGGTCACTCAATCCACAACTGTTTGTGGGACGCTGCTGCGTGCAATTGGCTGTCAGGTTTTGCCAACAAAACACACAGTCACTACACTTTACAGTGTGTCCTGTGAAGCGCTTTGAGACGTCTCAATGGCGTGATAAGGTGATCAAATGTACAGATTGTTATTATTATTGAATAACATTATTTTCCTTCTCGGTCAGGTTGGACCATTATTAACCAAGATGATTAAAGGTCGCTACGATCAGTCCTTCAGTTAATCTTCGTCCTGCAGATTCTTGGGTGACGCTTCCCCACAGAGTGAAAGGCCACCAGAGAGAGACTGAGCAAACTGTAAACTGGTATTACAAGCCTGCACTGGAAAAAGAAAAAAAAATGGGACCCCCCCCCCATTCCCCCACCCTCAATTGGTTGAAATCTGCTGCTGTTGACCAGTCAAGTGGATCCTGTATACACTTCTGTTGGTGCGTGCCTGAGGGTGAGCGAGCTCTCTGGTAAACTCCTCAGCCCTGTTTAGCAGCGAAGATATGGCTCAGAGTGTGTACCCAGATCACTTCACTTCCACAGAAATGGTTTTAAGAGTTTTTTTTTAATTGAAAGAGCGACACTTGCCTGTGACATTGCTGTTTTAGACAGATGGTTTGGGAATGAATGATGTTGGTTTCTTTGTCACAGCACATTGTTTGCATGGGGTTTTGTTGCAGGACTCCTCCCCCCCTCACCACCACCACCCCCCCACTACTGACCCCAATTTTTGGAAATCGCCGTTTTTTTCTGAGAAGCAACAAACTTGCCCCCATTTCCCGCACGGACTCCTTAACTTTGTTGAGATGCGAAGCTTGAAATATTGGCAGACGGCAAGCAAAGGCACGCCAGCAGTACCAAATAAAATCCCACACTCAATGAGCCAGTGAACATCCTTTGTGATTTTACTCTTATAAAACACAGACGGAGCACTGCAGGTCGATCGGCATCTAAGAGGGAAAGGTGGGTGAAAATTTCACTTGTGACCTTTCGGCAGAACTCTTAATGTTCTCTCCTTCAAATGTCCCCATCAGAGCCTCTGTGCTTGTCCAACACTTTTTTACTTCACATTTTCACCATTTGTTGATCATATCTCTCAGTTCACTCTGGAGTTTGCATGTGGGAAGGAGGAGAAAGCGAGAGAGAGGTAAGGGAATCTGACCCTTTTCTGTTCTGAGCTGAGAAGTGCATGAGATGCAAAGCAGACAGCGGGACTGGTTAATGACAGAGCTACAATGTTGATCCGTGCTTAAATGCATCCAGCAAGCCTTTATTGCTACACTGAGATGTGAACATAGAGTGAAAGACTCTATTCCAAAAAACATTAGGTCTACCTTGTAATTTAGCTTGCTCTAATTTTATAACAGCAGCAAAATATGAAATTCCCCATTGAATTCTTATTTAGGCCTTTACAATTCAGTCCATTGGCACTCCTGAGTCTCTGGATCCTACCTCCAAAAACATGTCTTCCATCTCTCATGCAAGGGACTTCCATTCCCACAAGGGGTTAGCACACAATTTATGACCGGTGGGACTGCAGCGCGGTACAGACTAGATTGATTGATTGATGGCTGCAAGGAAGGATTTTGTTGGATTCATGTTCGTGCTGAGGTGGATGCATTCTGACGTTGTTTAATCCACTTCACCCCCCACCCCTGCCCACTTCTCCTCCGTGACTTAAAGGAGATTCAAATTTGTCAGTGAAAGTGGATGTTATCAAAGTTGTGCTTTTTTTTACTCTTCCTTGCCCACATGAATACTTTTTTCCAATTGAAGGAGAACAAGGGGCTCCAGGGAGTTGAGTTTTTACTCCAGCGACTGCTGCTGTGTGCCTGATGTAGTGGTAATGGGAGCAGACTGGTAGCTTCTGGTTCCCTATCTCTGCCTCGCTATTCTGCCCACCTCGCCTCTGCAGCCGAGCACTCCATACATTGATGGAGAGAGACGCTGCAACACATCATGACGACCCTTTCAAATGCACGGACGACAAGGCAGTCTCGGTCTTGGAATTGGGGCAGTGACAGCTCTGTAAAGCCAGCTGCACTGTCGGCTCACATCCAAGCTGGTGCTTTTTTTAAAATAAGTTTTTTTTAAAGAATAAAAAAAAACACTTGAAAGTGAAAATAAATGATGCTGCTCAAAATAAATGTTGAAAAGTAACTGATCTCTAAATCTAATGTTGCTGTTTCTTTTTCCCCTGTGAACAGATCAGCAATGATATCATAATTTGATGATATGCACAGATATTTCTTCATTTGCTTTCTCCAGAAATAATAATAATAATCCTGGCATTTGATATAGCGCCTTATCACATCATTGAGACGTCTCTAAGACTTCACACAATATATTGTAAAGTAGATTGACTGTGTTTTATGGGCAAAATACGGTAGCCAATTGCACACAGCAGTGTCCCACAAACATTTGTGGATTGAGTGACCAAATTTTTTTTGAGAGAATATTACCCTTGGAGAGCAATCCACCAATCAACCCAATAACCATTTTCCTACTTACTACTAAGTAAACTGAGGTGTTTGGAGTAAGTAAACTTTCCTCAGGTTTTGCCCCAACCAGGAATCAAACCCAGGTCCTCTCGCTTTAAGGGTAAGTGCTCTAACTAATACGCTACAGGACTCCACACTTAACTAATTAGCTGTACATCACTGGCTTCACCCAACACAAGTCCAAGTGGTCCATCATAGCTGTAAATATTAGTCAAAAGATTTAAGTGCTCCAAGATGCTGCCCCATGCGAAGGATGCCATATAAAGATGTCTTATCTTTCCTGTCCCTCTCAGAAGTTTATGGAATAAGTATGTTGTACTTTAAGAAAAAAAAATTTGATTGCTCAATCCACGGCTGTTTGTGGGACACTGCTGTCCGCAATTGTTTTGTCCACAAAATATAGTCAATTCACTTTACAGTATATGCTGTGAAGCGCTTTGAGACATCTTGAAGATGTAATAAGACGCTGTATCAAATACAAGGATTATTATAAATCCGAGTTGTTGACCCAATCCTTTTAACACTGATAATTATCGTTTTGTACTGCCTCTTATAGTGTGGGTGACCAGAACTGTACGCAGGACTCCTTGTGCACTCCAAAGCGATCTGCAGCTTGAATTTGATTTTTGGGAATCTGAACTCAATTTAGCAATATAGGCCAGCATCCTGTTGTCTCATTTCATGCTGCCTCACACTGTTTTAACCCGGTGAGCGATGAGTCAATCTAGATCTCTTTCAGCTTCTCAGCAGGTTCTATTCGATCCGTGGAGTACGAGTTTATCTTCGTACTTCCTATCTGTTGGAGTTTTCTGGGGTCCTGTATCACAGTTGTTAGCGAGCTTGCATTGCAAGCAAGAGGACCCAGGTTCGAATTGAGAGTGGGGCGAACGTTAGGCAAGTTTTCTTTCCTCTGTTTACCTAGCAATATATTCTGTGAAGCGCTTTGAAACATCTCAATGACATGATAAGGCGCTATATCAAATGCAAATATTTTTGTCTCATTTTATCTTGAAACTTGCTTAATTTGCCAGTTATCAGCCAATTTATCTCATCAAGCTCCCTGTAAGGTCTTTGTTGCCTCCTCTGATTCCGGAGTTTCCCCCAAGCTTGGTGTCATGTGAAAAAGTTACATTGGGTCTGCAAACAAGATCATTAATATGTGCATCAAATGCACAGAGTAAAGGCAATTTCACTCTGCATCTACCCTGTGCTGTACCTGACTGGCTTCAGTCAACTCTAGTCCAAATGGTCCGTCAGAGCTGTTAAAGCTTAGTCAAAAAACAACAGTTGATCTTTGAGAATGTGTGAACCGGGGGATTTCCCTGCCTGGTGATATTTGCATGCGTCTACGTGTCTTGTTTCATTTGCCTTGTGCTGTACGTGTAATACTCCTCGCTGTGCTTAGACCACAGTCTGACCGATTTCCAAAATTGTCTTTGTTATTGCTTCTCCCTGTGGGATTTTTGGCACTTTTTCTAGTCACTGAATCCAGCAGAGAGCCTGTTTTAAAAGGGAAGGGGAGCCTAAGGGGAAATGCTTTTTTTAAACTATCCCCAATGGTTATAGAAATAATGAATCGTTGACAGCTGGCAAAACGCCCTGATTGTGGGGGACAGATAGGACCCATCTATGCCATTACTAACGGGGGGAGCAGATATGGACGTGTAGAAGACCAACAACAGCACAATGGTGGCTGGGTATCCCAGGCTCATCTTGAGGAGGCGTTTTCCAGCAGCTGCCGCAAAGTGAGCTCCATCGAACAGGCTCTCTCTAGGGTGACGGGGGAAACAGATAGTGTCAATTCATTCCAATACAAATTAGATTTCTTTAAGAAAATAACATTTTGGGATACAGTATCTTGAGTAATTTGAGATATGATAAGTGACGTATGCTTGGAAGAACAAGGCAACTTTGGATCTAAGGTTCCCGAAGCTTTCCACTGACGGTAGACTAATCAGAATTAATTGCTATCAATATTTCCATTATTGTAGCTTGCGATTACCAGGTTGGTTGGTGGCAAACTGGATGGATCTTGGTCTTTCTTCGTTCTAGCGATTCCTATGTTCCAACAACTAGAAATTTTTGCACAATTAACCAGAACACTCCTGGTCTTAAGGCTTTCCAGTTCAGTAACATCTATAGCTTCAGTCATGCACACTGCTATGTAACAAAGGTACAGCTCCATGTAACCTGCCCCAATAAGAGAACATACTATTTTTGTTTCAATTATAATTATCTCCTTTTGCAGACAGTGGGCAGTTTATCAACGGAACGGGGACACTATAGTTCTACCAGATGTCACTAGGCAGTAATCAGGAGTTCAGAGTTATCTGATTTCTTTAATACTGTGTGCCAACCTGGTGGAGTGGAGCAAGGTTGTAGGTTCAAGCCCCTATGTCGCAACTTGGAGATGATGTGGTGGGGGGGCAGCATTGTCAGAGGTGCCTGTTATCCTTCGGATAAGACATTAAACTGAGTGTTCAGGTGGAAATTAAAGATCCCATGGCACTATCCGAAATGAGAAGGGAATTTCTCCTGGTGTCCTGGCCAACATAAATAAAGTTGGTCACTCCATGGTTGTGTGTGAGATTTTGCTGTGTGCAAGCTGGTAGCTACATTTCGACCATGAAATACAAAGTCAATCCACTTTACAGTATATCCTGTGAAGCGCTTTGATATATCTCAATGATGTGATGAGGTGCTATATTGGAGTCCTGTAGCTCAGTGGTTAGAGCCCTCACCTAGCAAGTGAGGGACCTGGGTTCGATTCCCAGAGGGTGAAATGTTAGGCAAGTTTCCTTATTCCACATGCCTCTCTTTACCTAGCAGCAAGTAGGAACCTGGTTGTTAGTCAATTGGCGGATTGCTTTTCCGGGGGTAATAATTCCTTCAAAAAATAATAAGAAGCAATTGGCTTCAATCCATGACTATTTGTGGGACACTGCAATTGGCTGCCACATTTTGCCCACAAAATATACAGTCAATTCACTTTTTAGTATACTCTGTGAAGCGCTTTGAGACGTCTAAAAAACTTCATTAGGGACTATATTAAATACTAAGATTATTATATCAAATGCAAAGATTATTACTATGGTACAATTAAATGAATCCATAATTTCCAAACCTGCGCATGCTACAGGACAAGGCAGCTTGCACGTCTCATTCAATAGTCCCTTCGAGTCTCTCTGGATTCTTAACAGTACTCATTCCAAAGATTCTTTGTTTAATTAAATACTTTCAATAGAATATATGGGATGGAAAGCTTTTCTGGAGACGGGTGGACATCAATTCCCTGAGCGAATGCACCAAGCCCAGAGAGTTGCGCCCACGCCCATCAGAACAGTTGAGTTCAGTCGTTTCCTCAACGTTCTTCATTGAGTCTCCAGAGCAGTTTCAACAAGACAACAGTTCTTTGTTTATAACCTAGTCTTCAGTGGCTTCCTTTAACAGGCTTGCAATGTCTTCTTCAATAATGTTGAACGGTGCACTTATGTCGTACCTGCAAACAGAGTTTACTGATGAAGTGCAGGATATCCACAAAGTCCTCTTAACCCCCTGATACAAAATGGCATATGAGTCTACAGAGGAGCTGAAACAAGCTGTCAACAATTTGTTTTGCCTTGTCACTCCATGTTACGAAAAATGTCACAGTGAACATGGCGACAGATCTTTATCTTCCATGAAAATGATGGTGCTCACACACACTAATACTGTCAATATCTTGGTCGCATTTATTTGTGTATTTATGTATTTATATATACTTGTAACTCGCCACTCTGGATAACTTATCACTGAATGCTTTTCCCTTGAGAGTGACAAGTTACCATAAATGTACTGTAATAATAATATTTACTATAGCAAAATCCAAGCTGAAGACACACAAGTCTCTGACCTAGAGCAACACCTATTTTACCTTTTCAAGGGTCTTCCATTACCGTCCACCAAGAATTTCTCAAAGTTCCAGCGAATATCACTGACTTTCAGAGGTGACCAGTGCAACTTGTTCTTATCGCCCAGGACAGGGTTGACAAAGGCGCATGAAGCCTGTGATGAGGACAGAAAGTCATGCTTTAAGCAACAAAATACCATTTCCTGCCACTGAATTCACACGAGTATAATCAAGTGAAAGCCTGAGCACAGAATTCACTTCTTTATTTTTTTGCTGAGCCGGTTATCTGACATGCGGAAACCCATCACTGTGCTTAAAAGTATCCAAACCAAACTGAGAATTCCTTTCATCCCATCTACATGGGAATCCCAGAGATAGATTGTTGGAATGGAATGCACTTCCTCTCCCTGGAGGGATAATAATAATAATAATAATAATCCTTGCATTTGATATAGCGCTTTTCACGTCGGGAGGACGTCCCAAAGCGCTTCACAGAACACACTGTAAAGTGAATTGACTGTATATTTGTGGGCGAACGCGGCAGCCAATTGCGCACAGCAATGTCCCACAAACAGTCGTAGATTGAAAATGACCAATTTAATTATTGTTTTTGGTTTTTTGGAGGGATTATTATTAGGCGTGCATCTTTCTTACCTAATTCTGGAAATTATTAGGCCCAGGTGGCAAGAGCCAAGGCTTGGGGACCCCAGGGTGTTCGTTGGAGGTAACTGCTGGAGTCTAACCAGCTAAAACCGCGTAGTTTGCCATTGATATCGCTGTCTGGAACGTTTTCCTGCTGCTTGTCCAGCTGGGGACCAACCTACCCGTTAGGGCTTTGACTTGCAGGGTTAACAGGAGCTAAGTAGGATGATTCCTTGCCCCCAATTCGCTTGTGTGTTCTAAACACGGCTATAAAAAGACATGAACTCGGGTCACACTCTACAGCTCGGATGTGGAGCCTAACGTTAAGAAGATGGGCAATTGAACCGGTAAGACACTGATCTTCAGAAACAGGTAGAGAAACCCTGAGAGACTTTGACCATCAGCAACCAAGAGAATCTCTGACCATTAGAGAGACACTGACCTTCAGAAACGTGTAGAGAGGATGCTCACTTTCACCATTCACTAATATCTTGCCAAAAATAGGAAAGTTTGGAACAAATCCATTTCCTGGTCGAACGTACTTGAGAACATTTAGAACTTCGGAATCCTCCTCTGAAAAATATTTTCACAGTGTATCAATCAGCACAGAGATTATGCTATTACAATCCATTTGAAACTCCATAATAATATAATCATATAATCTTGCATTTAATAAAGCGCCTTATCAAGTTGTTGAGATGTCTCAAAATGTTTCACAGAATACAATGTAACGTGGATTGACTCTATTTTGCAGCCTAAATCCACAACTCTTTGTGGGACACTGCTGTGCACAATTGGTTCCTGCGTTTTGCCCACAAAATATACAGTCAATCCACTTCACAGTATATTCTATGAAATGCTTTGAGATGTCTTGATGTGATAAGACACTATATCAAATGCAAGGATTATTATTATCTTCTCACCTGGATCTTGATGTCCGAACTGGTTGCAGGGGAAACCCAGAACAGTGAATGGAGATCCAGTGAAATTTTCCATTAGTGCATTCAATTTGTTGTACTGTGAGACGAAGAGCAACAAAAAAATTCAGGGAAATTAGGATAAGATCCTCGCACTTGTCTTCAAATCCCTTCATGCCCTGGCTCCTCCCTGCCTTTCTGACCTGCTTACTCCCCAATCCACCACTTGCTGCCTCCACTAGACTGGCTTCAGCCTTCTGCTTGTACCTCGTGCTGTCCGTTCCACTTCTAGTGGCTGCATTTCATGCCCCAAAATTCTGGAACACTTCCTCTAACTCTCTGCCTTCCCCTCTCCTTCCCTATCTTCAGGTTGCATCTGAAGACCTTCCTCTTTGACTGTGCACACTACTTTGTGCAATTGGCTGCCTCATTTCACCCCAAAATATACAGTCAATTCACTTTACAGTATATTGTGTGTGGTGTTTTTTTCAACAACATGATAAAGCACTATATCAAATGGATTATCATATTATAAACTCTTTGGGGTGTTAGTACAGGTGATGTATCAAATGCAAGGAATATTATTCTGAATCTATTAAAAGGAGATTGGGAAAAGTGCAAAATTAACCTCGAACTGTCAATATGATTGTGTAAGTTGGATGAACACATTCCACTGAGTGCCCTGTGAGAACCCTTTACAACAGAGATGGAAAGGCATTTTACCTGAATCACTGTTGATCGTCAAAATACGGCCACGTTGGTAACAAGCAGAATCTGGCGTTGGTGTCGTTGCAGAGAAACCTGGGAGCCGTTGAGAGCCTTAACCTGGAAATTGTAGATCGTATTGGCTTGCCTGTCCTGGTCATATTTTGTGCAGGAACAGTGGAGGAGAGACATGGTGAGCAGCAGGAATAACTCACAGACTGTGTCTCTCGGTCCAGCTCTCCTGTGACGCACCCCCATTTTTAGCAGCCTCAGGGGTCGCCTAATTATTCCAGCTCAACGCCTCCATATAGATCTCATTGTGATGTAGTTGGTTGGGCTTTGTGTGAGCTCATTGTTCTGTTACAGGACATTCCTGCCTCCATGGTCGTGTTGACATGTAGGTTGAATGGGACCCATTGCCCTTTGCAGATTTGTTCCTTTAGTGGAGGGAAGTGCATGTAAAGAACCATTCATCTAATGGTTAGATGTTTGCGTACAACTGGTGAAGAAGGATATTGCCACCTTTCTAAACAAGGTGTTATGATCCCTTTTAAAGGGAAGATATCATCAATAGGCCCACTTTTAAAGAGGGTGCCACACTTTTAATAGAGGCTCACTGCTTTTTTTTAAACCTGGATCCTAATATTTTCATCAGAACCATCTTTAAGGGGTGGGTAGGGGGGGGACATCACACCATCAGAGCACTGTTAAAGGAGACTTGTGGCTTAACTATTGGTTGCACTTTAGGAGAAGAAGTTCTATTAAGTGGTTTGAGGGGGTGTTACAAACTAGCTTAAACAAAACAACAAATTGCATTTATATGGCACCTTTCAGGTTGGGAGGACGTCCCAAGGCACTGGAAATGAGGGGTTTGCACCCAAGCTGCGGGTTAGGATCAGAAAGGTGTGGAGGGCAAGCGGGGTGGAAGAGGAAAGATTACTGAAAGAACGGTGAAAAAGAAAAGTCTTGAGATACAGCCAGTGGGACAAGCAGCATTACATACACTACGAGTTTTTTGTAAAACTCAAGTCAATTGCTGGCACACTTGATGCAATCTGTAAGAACCCCACTTATCCTTTGCGAAACGCAACTCGTTCACCTACAAATGCAGTCACTCCACTTCACAGTAAATCCTGTGAAATGTCCTCCCGACGAGAAAGATGCTCTACCAAACGCAAGGATTATTTCAAAAAATGCACATCATTGGGTTAATTCCATGGAAACCTAACTCGTGATTCTTGCCTTTATTAAATAATAATCTTATTTTCTAATGCCGTGCATGATCCAATGTGATCGGTATCTAGTTGACCCACATTACATTGGCTACTCTTTTTGGGGAGAAGCGTGGTCTCCTTGAAGCTGAGCTGCCTCCTGGGTGACTTGCATGGCAACGGAATATCAGAATCGAACCAGCGCTCTGTGGAGATCTCTAGTCTGGTTCCTGAGCCAGGCAGGTCTGCAGTATTCCAGGATATTGCTGATGATAGCACAGCCTTGGCCCCATGTCACCATCTGCTGTCTCTGCTCGGCCAGCTCTGGCCTCCTACTTGTCCCTCATCCCCTCTGCTCCACCATTCGCAGCCTTGCTTTCAGTCACTTTGCCCCGAAACTCTCTCCCTCAATCCCTCCGCCTTTCCCAATCCTTCCCCATTTTCAAATCATGCATTAAGACCTTCCTCTTTGACTGTGCCTCCGGTCTGCCACTGATATACACTCCAAAACGCTATCCTGCAGGAATAGCGCTATATAAATACAAGTTGTTGTTGTGCTGACTGCAGTAATGCACAATTTATACTTTAAATAGCACCTTCCTTTCAGGGGATTACCCCTCACGTGTCCATTGTGTTATTGTTGCTGGGAGTTTGGAGTCCGCGAGCGTAAGCAGGAACACGATGCTGATTTGAAATGCTAGTTTGAACGATTACTGCTAATTTTGCAGCCATGGGTGGTAAATCTGTGTCTGAATGAAGTGTTCACGTCAATGCACAGGATATCACTGAATGTTCCAGCCCTTTTGTTCACAGAAACTGCTGCAAATGAACTTTCTTTAATGCCTGCTCAGCACATCAGCATTGACTGTCTATTCTTTCAACTTCATCTGCTTGCCAGACATTGCCGTCAATAGCAAACAATGTGCTTTTAGCTGGTTAGACTCCATCAGTTACCCCAACGCACACTCTGGGGTCCCAATGGCACGGTTCTTGCCAACCTTCACTGAATACTTTCCAGAATTAGGTAAGTAGGATGCATCCCTCCAGGGAGAGAAGAGTGCACATTCCATCCCAACAATCTACCTCTGGGATTTCCAAGTGTGGGCGGGATGCATAGAATTCTCAGCTTGGTTTGGATACTCTTAAGCACGGTGATAGGTTTCCGCATGTTTCAGACACCCGGCTGACCAAAAGAAAATTGGTGCCCTTTGCCCTGCACGCTCCCTGTTTGTGTGCAAAGCCTGGCCAAAGTCGGTAGTGCTTCCGCCTCTGTGTCAGAAGGTGGGGGAAGGGGTGGGATTCAAGCTCCAACATAAGGAACCGTTCTCAGTCTTGGGTTGACACTGCACTGGGAAGCATTACATTGTTGGGTGCTGTCACTCCGGCGAGACGTTATAACAGGGTCCCTTTTGCCCGTTCAGGTGGACGTTACAATTCCAATGACGCTGTTCGAAACACGACTGCTTGTGGGTGACCTCTGCCTATCACTGGCTGCTGCTTTTCGCCCCCCCCTACCCCCACCCCATATATTCGCTTTACAGCATATTTTGTGAAGCGCTTCGAGGCGTCGAGAAGACGTGATAAAGTGCTGCATCAAATGCAAGAATTATTATTATTATTATTATTATTATGATGGTGATGATCATTATTATAATGAGGGGAGGTATCTCCTGCAGCTGCATTTGCCGCCGCGGACCGCTAGATGGCGCTCTGGGCGCCATGGTCAGGCTGAGAGGGGAACCTGAGCCTGTGACACAGCGGCTCTGGCACAGGCAGGACAGGGGGGGCCGGACAGGGGGGGGGAGGACCGGGGAGGGGAGGACAGGGGGAAGACAAAGGCTGAGGCACAAGGCGGATGTGGTGCACTTGGAGAGAAGGGGGTGAGTGTCATGGAGACAGGTGAGAGCAGCAGGTGAGCAGCCGGTTACACTGTTACACTGTGACAGGGGGTGTGTGTGTGTTACACTGACATGGGGTGTGTGTGTGTTACACTGACAAAGTGTGTGTTACACTGACAAGGAATGTGTGTGTTACACTAACAAGGAATGTGTGTGTTACACTGACAAGGAATGTGTGTGTTACACTGACAAGGGGTGTGTGTGTGTTACACTGACAAGGGGTGTGTGTGTTACACTGACAGGGTGTGTGTGTTACACTAACATGGGGTGTGTATTGCACTGACAAAGTGTGTATTACATTGACAAGGTGTGTGTGTGTGTTACACTGACATGGGGTGTGTTACACTGACAAGAGGTGTGTGTTACACTGACAAGGAGTGTGTGTGTGTTACACTGACACTGACAAGGTGTGAGTGTATTACACTGACAAGGTGTGTGTGTGTTACACTAACAAGGAATGTGTGTGTTACACTGACAAGGAATGTGTGTGTTACACTGACAAGGTGTGTGTGTGTTACACTAACAAGGAATGTGTGTGTTACACTGACAAGGAATGTGTGTGTTACACTGACAAGGAATGTGTGTGTTACACTGACAAGGAATGTGTGTGTTACACTGACAAGGTGTGTGTGTGTTACACTAACAAGGAATGTGTGTGTTACACTGACAAGGTGTGTGTGTTACACTAACAAGGAATGTGTGTGTTACACTAACAAGGAATGTGTGTGTTACACTGACAAGGAATGTGTGTGTTACACTGACAAGGTGTGTGTGTGTTACACTAACAAGGTGTGTGTGTTACACTAACAAGGAATGTGTGTGTTACACTGACAAGGAATGTGTGTGTTACACTGACAAGGTGTGTGTGTGTTACACTAACAAGGAATGTGTGTGTTACACTGACAAGGTGTGTGTGTGTTACACTAACAAGGAATGTGTGTGTTACACTGACAAGGAATGTGTGTGTTACACTGACAAGGTGTGTGTGTGTTACACTAACAAGGAATGTGTGTGTTACACTGACAAGGTGTGTGTGTTACACTAACAAGGAATGTGTGTGTTACACTGACAAGGTGTGTGTGTGTTACACTAACAAGGAATGTGTGTGTTACACTGACAAGGTGTGTGTGTGTTACACTGACAAGGTGTGTGTGTGTTACACTGACAAGGTGTGTGTGTTACACTAACAAGGAATGTGTGTGTTACACTGACAAGGTGTGTGTGTGTTATACTAACAAGGAATGTGTGTGTTACACTGACAAGGTGTGTGTGTGTTACACTAACAAGGAATGTGTGTGTTACACTGACAAGGAATGTGTGTGTTACACTGACAAGGTGTGTGTGTTACACTAACAAGGAATGTGTGTGTTACACTGACAAGGAATGTGTGTGTTACACTGACAAGGTGTGTGTGTGTTACACTAACAAGGAATGTGTGTGTTACACTGACAAGGAATGTGTGTGTTACACTGACAAGGTGTGTGTGTGTTACACTGACAAGGTGTGTGTGTGTTACACTGACAAGGTGTGTGTGTTACACTAACAAGGAATGTGTGTGTTACACTGACAAGGTGTGTGTGTGTTATACTAACAAGGAATGTGTGTGTTACACTGACAAGGTGTGTGTGTGTTACACTAACAAGGAATGTGTGTGTTACACTGACAAGGAATGTGTGTGTTACACTGACAAGGTGTGTGTGTGTTACACTAACAAGGAATGTGTGTGTTACACTGACAAGGTGTGTGTGTGTGTTACACTGACATGGGGTGTGTGTGTGTTACACTTACAAGAATGTGTGTGTTACACTGACATGGTGTGTGTGTGTTATACTAACAAGGAATGTGTGTGTTACACTGACAAGGAATGTGTGTGTTACACTGACAAGGTGTGTGTGTGTTACACTAACAAGGAATGTGTGTGTTACACTGACAAGGTGTGTGTGTGTTACACTGACATGGGGTGTGTGTGTGTTACACTGACATGGGGTGTGTGTGTGTTACACTGACATGGGGTGTGTGTGTGTTACACTGACAAGGGGTGTGTGTGTTACACTGACAGGGGGTGTGTGTTACACTGACATGGGGTGTGTGTGTATTACACTGACAAGGTGTGTGTATTGCACTGACAAAGTGTGTATTACACTGACAAGGTGTGTGTGTGGTACACTAACAAGGTGTGTATTACACTGACAAGGTGTGTGTGTGGTACACTAACAAGGGGTGTGTTACACTGACAAGAGGTGTGTGTTACACTGACAAGGAGTGTGTGTGTTACACTGACAAGTGGTATATGTTACACTGACAAGGAGTGTATTACACTGACAAGTGGTGTGTGTTACATTGATAAGAGGTGTGTATTACACTGACAAGGGGTGTGTGTTTTCACTAACAAGGTTTGTGTGTTACACTGACAAGGGGTGTGTGTTTCATAACAAGGGGTGTATTACACTGACAAGGGGTGTGTGTTACACTAAGAAGGGGGATGTTAAACTGTGACAAGGGATGTGCTACACTAAAAATAGGCATGTGTTACACTAATGAGTTTACACTATGACAAGTGATGTGTTGCATTGTGACCAGGGATGTGTATGTTACACTGTAACAAGGCTGTGTGTGTGTGTGTGTGTATATCACATTGTAATGAGGGGTGTGTGGGGTTAAAGTAATAAGCGGTGTGTGCTAGTTACACTGTAGTAGTATCGGTCTGTTAGCTGTAGCACTGTGTGTGTGATGTTTCTGCACTGTGAGGTATGCTGATGCAGAGATGTGGGCCAGTGATTGACATTGATTCCAATTCTCTCCCATTCACTGAACAGCAGATGCCAGCTCCTGGACCTGCCTTGGGAGGATGTGCTGGTGCCACACGTTCTGTGTCATCTCCAGCTGCGCCAACTCATCTGCCTCCAGCGGGTCAGCAAACCATTTCACGCCCTGATCCAGGTCTACCTGTCAAACTGCCGCACCCTGGACACTTCTCAGGTAACCTATTTGGAGCACCAGCACTCGATAACAAGAGTTTTCACCTCCCTGTCATACAGCACAGGCTGGATAACAGTACTGTTTCCCCACAGTGACACAGAGATAGGCTACATTACGTTACAGCTCCCTCCGCTTGGTGGATTTTAGCCTGGTCCATCTCCCCTGCCCTATCCTCTCCACCATCGGTGGTTGGGTCTTCAGCCTTTCTGCCCCTTTGGAACTCCACCCCACAATCCCCTCGCCCAGTCCCTTCCCTTGGCTCCTTCAAGGCCAGTCTCAAGACCTTCCTAAATGACCATGCCTTCAGTCACCCTCCTAACCCCCACCCTTCCTGATCCCAATCCCCAGCTCGGGTGCAGATTCCTTGGCTGTCCAGCGCTGTGGGACATCCTCCCGATGTGAAAGGCGCTGTATATATGTCATTTGTTGTTGTGTGTTTGTAACCGCGCATTCTCTCTCTCTGTGCGAATGACGTCAGGTGGGTGCGGACATACCCCGAACCGCCTTCTGTAACCTGCTGAGAGACAACACCGTGCTCCAGAGCCTGGTTGTCTACAACTGCTCCGACTGGCTGAGGGACGGCGAGTTACTGCCCATCATTGGCCAGAACCACCACTTGGCCAAGCTGGACATCACCGGTTGCAGGAACCTGAGCCGGCAGAGCCTGGTGGGCCTGTCTCTCAGCTGCCCCAACCTGCGGCACGTCTCCCTGCGCCAGTGCGACTGGGTGGATGCCCTGTCTCTGCGCAGCCTGGCCGACCACTGCTCTAGGCTCGAGTCCGTCGATCTCACCGCCTGCAAACAGCTGAACGACGAGGCTGTGTGTTACCTGGTCAGAAAGTGCCCCACCATCAAGTCCCTGTCGCTGGCCATAAATGCAAACCTCAGCGATAACTCGGTGCAGGAAGTGGCTAAGCGGTGCCCAGATCTCCAGCACCTGGATCTCACAGGCTGCCTCCGCCTGAGGAACGAGTGTGTAAGGTAAGGTCCACAGACGATTATCATTTACAGTTCCCGGGCTCTCTTCAACAGCACCGTTTTACTCACCGTGTGGAGTCCCATAGGAAAGTGGTTAGTGCACTCACCTCGCAAGATCTAGGGCCTTCTGCTGAGGGTTAAAGATCACCTCTCGTACTTCGCATTGAAGGTTCAAGCCTCAAATCTTCAACTCCCTGGACCTAATCAGTTTAATGATGCTACTACAGTTCTCTATTTAGAAGGTTGGCTTTGGGTATGTGTCTGTGTTGATGACCTCAGTGTTGAGGAGCCTATTTACTTGGGGAGAATGGGGCAGTGTCCCATAGCGTAGACTATGAATTTAACAAAATACACAGTCAACTCACTTTACAGGACTGGAGCATAGTGGTTAGAGCGCTCGACTTGCAAGCGAGAGGGCCCGGGTTCGATTCTTGGGTGGGGCGAAACCTTAGGCAAGTTTCCTTACTCCACACGCCTCCAGCAGCATTTTGAGGCGTTCTCTCACCATATAAATGAGGTGTATCAAAGGGTTAATTGGTCATTCACTTCGTAGTGTCGGTGGGACCTTGTTGGGTGCAACTGTCTGACGTGTTTGCCTGCAAAGCAATCACTGCACAAGATGCAATTTAACTGGAGTGCTCCAAGACATGTAGACCTGATGAAGTGCCATAATTGGGAAAACAACACCATTTTTTTCTGTTATTATTTTGCAGGACAGTGGCTGAGTACTGCTCGAAACTCCAGTCTCTGAAGGTGAACCATTGTCACAACATCACCGAGGGCAGCCTGGAGCCCCTGCGGAGGAAGGGGGTGGACATCGATGTCCAGCCACCACTGCAGAGGGCATTAGTCCTCCTCCAGGATGTTGTGGGCTTTGCCCCATGCATCAACCTCCAAATCTGACCAGGACCATTCCATTCCGGTAACTCGTTCTTCCCTCAGCTGTAATCTTAATTCAAGTGTAATCTTAAAACTGTACATTTTGCGTTCGCCCATAAAGCATACAGTCAATTCACTTTACAGCATATTCTGTGAAGTGCTTTGATACTCATAGAAGACACGATAAGGCGCTATATCAAATGCAAGAATTATTATTAAGTGAGGCATTGCCCTGCGTGAAAGGTGTTATATAAATACAAGTTATTGTTGATAATCTTCATCCTGGAATCCCTTTGCCTTACCCCCTCCCTTGTCTCCTTCAAAGCCCATCTCTTTGGTCATCCTCCCACTCTCACCCCCTTGCCCTCCACCCCTCTTGACTCCAGCCCCTTTATAGTCCGTTCACTTTACAGTATATTCTGTGAAGTGCTTTGAGTCTCAAATGACATAAGACACTAAACCAAGTTCAAGGATTATTATTATATTATAGCCATCTTAAGTGCAAACCCTTGACTGTCCAGTGCTTTGGGACGTCCTCCCAACATGAAAGGCACTACATAAATGCAATTCTAATTGTTGAAACGCTTTCAGTGAACCCACTTCCCTCCCCCACTCCCGCCCACACACCGGGATAATTCACAATTAAAATGATTGGCTTAAATTTTGAAATTCCCAAAGAATGGATTGGAATTCAGCCAGATGTGCTGGAAGTGGACTCTATATATTCCTATTTAAGAGTTGGATGCACGGGAGATTATCGTTAAGTCACATTTCCTAGAAACATAAGCTGGCCTCTCAAGAACTTTGCTTGAAGCACAATTTCTTTGGGTTTGATGTGCCGTGTTTCTTGAGTTCATCTCTATTGAAATTTCTTTTTACAGTCAGCCAGACATATGTGGAAATCTATTACCATGCATAAGAGTATCGAAACCAAACTGAGAATTCCATGCATCCCATCTTCACATGGACTCAACAGGCCTGACTGTTGAGCATTCTGAAACTTTCAAAGATTACAAATCACACACAATGAAAGCCGTTTCCTACAGGAAGAATACGTCTAACTCATGGCAATATGTTAAAATCCTTTTAATTAGTCAAACAGTGGAGTCAAACATTGACAGTCAGTAAATTTGGCCTATCTGTAAGGACAGTGTTTTACACAGGGCACAGTTGTAAGCAGTAAAAATGACAGTACAGACAATACAGCTTCATTTATCTAGCAGGTACGTGCAACAAAATGGCCCTATTGTTGTGATGAGGCAAGTTTTCATTGAACCCAAGCCATTAACCCTTTAGTCCTTTCCAACCAGACTTGTTAACTCCTCCTCTCCCCAGTTGACTATGACCAAATTCTAGTCCGTCAACGAGACCAGCTGCAAGATATTCATTTTCCAACAAGTTTTGGAGCTTTCAGAGAAGCAGTTTTCTTGGACAATAACACGTCAGCAATGGGTGTTGGATTGTTAAACAGAACTGGAGTCTCAACCAGTGGGTTTGAGTTGGAGTCCTGGCTTTTGGCTGGCACGGGGTTCTCTTCGAGATAAGGTCGAGCCAACAGTTAGCCTTTGTCAATGTTGAGAAGTGGAGCACGCACTCTTCGCACACCTCTTGAGCAATCGCCAAAGTTAATAAGACACTGATAAGAGTCCAGAGATGGCCCTGGAGAGGGAACTAATACAATCCAAGAAATATGCTGAGAAGCTCTCTCCCGCAGTCTCAGTGAAATTTGTACTTTCGGGCTGGCTTCAGATTGATGTACGTTTTCTTCATCTCTTCACTCTCGGATTTCTTCGCCTGTGTGAAGCGCTCGCCCTTTGTGCTCACCACCTGATTGTCGATGTAGCGAACAAGCTTTTTAGGAGCCTGGAGAGAAGCAAAGGATACAGCTAATATCCATTTCAAAATAACCCCTTAGGTCTTGAATAAGAAGTCACATGGACAATTTGGACTATAAACCTGGAATTTCCCTTTAAGACTAGGGCATGAATGGCTCAGCGCCCTGGGACATCTTTCCGATGTGAAAGGCACTCTACTGTGTAATTTGTTGTTATTGTTGTCACAAATGATGTTCATGTCAGCGTACCCCAATGTAATGTGAGAAGTGTCCCGAGCTCACACACTGAGAAGTAACACAAAAGACCTCAAAACATCATTGCTCAGTCTAGACAGCTCCATTGTCTAAAACGTTGCTCGTTCAAGTAAAACCACATGGCCTACCCTAACATGGACCAACCTGAGGGGCAAAACAAAACTGATTATATACACTTGAGAGAAAGAAATCCCTTCATCTGGGTATTTATTTAGACTCCATTGTCTGTGGTCTTTACTCCATTTCCTCAACGTTTTTGCCATGTCCCTTTAAATACCCTTTTACTTTCCGAGTATCAATCTGTTTTGCTCTTGAACAACGTAATCCACTACCTATCTAAGGTCTTCTGAGGCAGTACGTTCCTCATTCTCACTAACCTTTGTGTAAAGAATTTTCCGTTCCATCATCTCTGATGGCTCTTTAATTTCCAAGTTACGTCCTTTTATCTTACATTCCTCAGTTGGAGCGGAAGAGTTGTTCCAAACCGTCTGAAAAGCTTAAATCAGACTCACCCCTTCAACCTGCTGAACTCCAATGAACATCGCCACAGTTAACTTAACCTCTCATAGTCTGGCCATTTCCAAGAATCCAAATTAGTCTTGCATAAAAGCCACCTGAAGCTTCAATTAGATTAGACCATACAGGTCACTTGTTAAGACCATTCCAGATGTTTCCTACTGCATTTGTGCAAACTTAGAGCCATAGAAATTTACAGAAGGCCATTTGGCCCATCACATTGGCTTTTGAAAGAACAATCCATTCAGTCCTCTTTACCTGCCTTTTTCCCTATATGCCTGCTGGGTATTCCTCTTTTGATACCTATCTAGTTCCCTCTTGACTTTCTTATACAAGTCAGATATGTCTGCCGCAAAATATAAATTGGATAAATTCTTACCTCTTTAGGCGCTAGAGGTTTGTGAACTTTGAGATCTTCCTCATTGTCTACCATCATGTACCTGAAATGACAAAGCATATTGTGAACTGCCCACCAGTGCAAATGCAATACATGATCACAAAATTGATTTGGATAAAGACCCTTCAGGCCATCTAATCTTATGTTTCCTGAACACCCACTTACTGTCCCAGTGTCCAATGTTCTGGCCTCAACCACCTTTCCTGGCAACCTGTTCCAGTCATTAATTATCCTCTGGGTAAAGAAAACCTTCCTGGTGTCTGTCCTGAATTTGCCCTTCACAACTCTAAACCTATGTCCTCTTCTGCTATTTTAGAGCACCCTAAAATAAGGTTCTGGGTTTACTTTTCCAATACCATTTAAAATGTTATACAAATCCACAAGGTCACCTCAGGAGAAATCTTCTCTCAAGACCGAAGGACTCAACTTATCTGAATGTTACTTATGGCTCATTTCTCTTATCCTCATAGCTCTGCTCTGCCTCTAGCCCCTTATGTCATGGCAAGTACCTCCTGACGGTTCGGAAGTGCGTGCCTGAAAGCTTTCTGCATGAAATATGCTGATGCAAACCCACCTCCTAAACACTTGCTCCCTTCTAGACATTTAACATGAAGAATTACAAGACAAGGGCTGTAATATTAGAACGCACCCACCTCGAGGATTAACATACAAGATCATTGCTAAACAAGAGTAGAAGTGTTAGACTAGATGTTTAATACCCGAGAGATTTACAACATACTTAGTTTAAAATACGACTCAATAATATTGTGCTCAAGTATTTAGACCTATACTTGTAGCAATTATGCCTCACTCACTCCTACTTAACTCACTTCTCCAGAATGCTTGCTTTGAGCTTCTTATCTGGCGCTGGAAGACTCGTCTTCAGAGGCACTTCCTAACACAAGAAACAAATTGTATGTAAGTGACTAGAGATAAATCATTTATAGCACAGAATTTTAAAATTGTTGTTCGACGTACTCTTTCTGCCTTGGCCGTAAATGCTGGTGGCCTGGGCTGAGCAATATTTGGCAACTTATTCTACAAAGGCCTGTCACATGCCTTCCTTATTTTTTGGTCAGCTGGATATCTGATACATATGGAAACCGCTCACCGTGCTTAAGAATATGCAAATCAAAAAAATAATACTAATTTGGTCAATCAATCCACGACTGTGTGTGGGACACTGCCGTGCGTAATTGGCTGCTGCGTTTCGCCCACAAAATATGCAGTCAATTCGTTTTACAGTATATTTGAGACATCTCGAAGATGTGATAATACGCTGTATGAAATGCAAGGATTATTATTATTTTGTGGGCGAAACGCGGCAGCCAATTGCACACAGTGTACCACAAACAGTCATGCATTGAGTGACATTTTATTTTGTGGGATTATTACCTCGAAAGCGAGCCACCATACGACTAACAACCGGGTTCCTACTTAATGCTAGGTAAACAGAGGCGTGTGGAGTAAGGAAACTTGCCCCACCCAGGAATCGAACCTGGGTCCTCTTGCTTGCAAGGCGAGCCTGCTAACCACTATATTACGGGACTCCACAACTCGCATTGCCTAGCAAGCAGACTACTGCAGTTTTGCCTTCTGAAAGTTACTGTTTGGATGAAGCATTTTTGAGGGAACAGGCCAGTCAGTTGTGGTTTTAACGGCCCATGTCTTTTCTCAGGTCAGATGGGAGTTTTGCTCTCATTGGAGCATTCAAGTGGAAACCATTGTGAAATGTGAAGCGTGGCCCAGCCAGTTACCAACGTACACTCCGCACAGAAAACAGCTTCCAACCACAACCAGTGGAGTCTGTTTGACAGCCTTAGGTACCTGCTTGCGTACACCTGAGCAAAGGGCCCCTCAAGATATATCCAAGTGACCACTGTGTATTTTTACCCTATCCTGTAGTACAGGTGGGTCACTGAAGGTGCACTTAATATAAAAATACACGGGATTCGTGTTTTAAGTGAATGTATGCTATTGTAGAGAATTTGCACAAAAGTCGAAAGATGTAGATTAGACATTCAGATAAATCACTGCTGCTGATTTAAAACTGGCATCTTATAAATGTATCTGCCCTTTGGGGAGCGGGGGCAAAGGGTACACAAGACATGCATGAGTCAATTCCATAAGTAGCCCTTTTCCCCCATCCTCCAACGAAACTACAATCCTGTAAATACTTGGCTTTTCATAGCATCTCTCGAGTCATAATACTTGAGTGAAGAGTGTAAAATAAAGTGTGTGTCAACCTGCCACTATCGTTTCTGAGTCAGAAGGTTGTGGGTTCAAGCCCCACATTGGGACTTGGAATCTCATAGTCTAAGATGACGTTCCACTATAGCGCTGGGAGTGCATTGCATTGTTGGAGGTGTTGTCCTTCGGCTGAGACATTAAACCGAGGTCCTATCTGCCAGTTCAGGTGGATGTTAAAGATCTCATGGCACTATTCAAAAAGAGACAGGAGTTTCCCCCGGTGTCCTGGCCAACAATTCCCCAAATAAAATTGGTCACTCACTCCATGGCTGTTTGTGGGACATTGCTGTGCGCAATTGGCTGCCACGTTTTGCCCACAAAATATACAATCAATCCACTTTACAGTATACTGTTCAATTGGAAAGGGTTTCCCTAATAGCTTATTGCTTGTCAACCTGGCCCAGTTGATAGATCTCCCTCAGAAGCTTGGGCGGTCAAACCCCCTCCCATCAGGACTTTAAACTCACATAGTCCAATCTGACACTGGGGAGCATTGCATTGTCAGAAGTACCATTCTTCGAATGAGATGTTAACCAAGGTCCCGTCTGCCTGTTCAGGTGGACTTTAAAGATTCCATTGTACTTTTCCTGACCAACAATCCTCCAGATAAAAATGACCATTCACTTCATTCATGAAACATTTGTAGGACACTGCTGTGTGCATAATGTTTTCCTCAGTCTCCAACTAAATACACTCTCTACACTTCACAGTAAATCTTGTGAGATTTTGTCTTGATGTGACAGGCACAAGGATTATTATTGGTACTACAGAGAAATCTCCCAGTGTAGCATTTAGCCATAAAGACTGGAAGACTGGAGATTCTGCACTGAATGAGCTAGTATCAGACACTATGAGTGAATTCCCCCCTCCATCCTCCACACACACAGACATACTAGCTAGGGTGAGGAAAATCAACTAGGGTTTCCAGGTGTATGTAGACTGCTGAGGACAAGGCCAAGTTGGGATGGGGGACAAAAATAGAGTCCATTGTGACAACACTTATTGTCAAGGCTCACATGTGAAGCATGACCAGTTGGACATTGGTACCGAAGGGGAAAGGACAGCCTTATATTATTAATAGAATAAACCAAAGTAAACAACAAATTACATTTTCATTGCACCTTTCATGTCGGGAGGACGTTCAAAGGCGCAGGACAGTCAGGGATTTGGAACTGAACCCGAGCAGGAGGTTGGGATCAGTGGGGCGGGGGGATAGGGGTAGGAAGGTGACCAAAGGCGTGGTCCATCTCTAGAACAGGGGGAAAACACCTCTAGGAGATGGGGAAAACTGGAAAGAAAAGAAGTAAAAGTGAGGGAGAATATATCGATGCGTTGTCCATTCCAGTCAATGCTCAGAGAGCACCCCAATTCCAGTCAATGCTCTCCAGTAATCATTGCTCAGAACTTACCTACCCATAATGTTGTCATTGCCCAAAGACACTATCTCTACCATAACCAATGCTCCAAGAACCAGGCCAGACTGTAGCCAATGCCCATATTGTAATGTCTATATTGTAGTCTGTGCCCAGATCATGAAGCTTTAGGTTTGATGGCTAGTTTAACCTTTTGACACATCTTTCAGTAGGGGTTTTCCTGTAAAAGGATCTTTCTACTTTGTATCATCTGTAGGTAGATAGTGGTGGTGTGGGAGGCATTGAATAAAATATTTAAAGAACATTTATTTAAATTGTTATATATATATATATATGTGTAAGTGTTTGTCTCTGATGGGTTGGTTGGGGGAAGGAAACCTCAATAAAACATGGAAAGTAGCACTGTCTGATTCAAACTCGTGTTCATTTAATCGACTTAATTAATTTAGACACAGATCGACATACATTGTTCTCGATAGCAGAGGGATCAACCCTTTGTAGTCAGAATAACAACAACAAAATTACATTTGTATAGTGCCTTTTCACGTCGGGAGGACGTCCCAAGGCACTGAACAGGACTGAAAGTAGTTACAATGACAGTGGGTTGCAATTCCCGAAACGTCAGCCAGGCTGTGCGTTTGTGCCTCTAATGGCATACAATGCAAAAACATGCCTCTCGGCCTATCAAGTCTCTGCTGGTATTTTTCTCCATATGAGCCACTCAACCTGTGCTTGCTCACCTTTAATATTCCTGGTTTTAAACAAGTGCCTGTCTAAAGTACTTATATTCACTGCTTCAGTAACAGTATGTGAGCATTCTAACCATCCGACATAAAGACATTCTTTCCCCCCACCCCCCGTTTAATTTTTTTGTGATGATCTTAAATTTTTCCCACTTGTTCTAGGACTTGCTAAACAGTGGAAATATTAATCCTAATGGGACACACCTAACAGCACTTTAAACTCACAGTTCAGGCTGATGCTCCAATGCAGTGTTGGATGGAGCATTGCACTGTCAAGGGGTGCTGTCCTTTGGATGAGATGTTAAACTGAGGTCCCATCTGCCTGTTCAGGTGTATATGGCGCTTTTCGAAAAGAGAAGGGAGTTTCTCTGTCCCGGGGCCCTGGCCAACAATCCCCCAAATAAAATTAGTTGTTCACTCCATGGCAATTTGTGGAACATTGCTATGCGTAACTGGCTGCTACATTTCGCCCACAAAATACACATCGGTACATCCTGTGTTTCTCCCAGTGCCTTCACCCAGTTAACATTGGTCATTTACTTAATAGCTATTTGTGGGACATTGCTGTGTGCACAACTGGCTGAAACATTTGCCTATATATCACAGTTACTACACCTTACAGTAAGAATGCTGAGGCGACATGATAAGGCATTATATGAAACACAGGGATCGTTATTATATAGCACTATCTTGAAGACTTCAAGGCCTTTTCCAATCAGTTACTCTTCACAGTCAATTCGCGAGCTCTAACGCAGTGATGCAACACACTAACCTTGGTGGCAGAGGTTTCGCTCAGATTCATGGCTCCTTCCATCAGTAACTGCACAGCGTATTCCATGTTGCCCTTGGCCATGGATAGTACATGATGTGCTTCAGAGGCCCTGCAGGAGGGGAACATCTCCACTAGCAGCTGAACTCCATCCTGCACTTGGGCTGAGTCCTCCTGTTAACAAGGCAAAAAGGGGGAAAAACATCTGAAGTGTCACAAGCTACAAGGTCAAACAGGATTTAACATGGGAGATCAGCTACTGAGCTCTTCAGAGCAACAATAACCTCACAACGAGCTTGCTTATTGCAGCCACACAATTCCAACAGTTAAAAGAACTCAGCTCCGCAACAGCAATACAGTCAAAATCACATACGTCTTATCAGTCGGGACTGTGTGACTTACACCAAAAGTCTGAGTTGTAGGGCAAACTAGAAGTCATTAGAAAAATCCAATTTAATCAATAATCTACACTGTGCATGCGTAATCTAATGCAGCCGGTAAACACACCGGTCAAGGCTATGTTTCCTGAGATTCAATGCTTCTTCACCCATTGCCGCAAGAGCATTTACCACCAACAGCTGGAATCACATCAAATGAAGTTCTTCTGCGTGTGGGTCTACGGGTCAAGACCACATTTCCCCTGATTTAGTGCAGCCGGCTGGGAAGTGCACATGTTTCAATGGGTCACGATGTCATTTTCCACGACTGAAGGTAAGCGCAGGAATAATGGAGTCTAAGGGGGGGGTGCGGTGTTACCGAGAACAGGAGGTGATCAATAAGAGTATTGCAAAGAAATCTAAGTGTTTTTGATAGGAAATTGAATGGGACATGGGTGAATATATGACTTGGGCAATTACACGATTTATAAAGCTAAGACATGCAAGTTCGGTTAAAGAAATGCATAGAAAAGCCACAGCCGCCCCTGTGGTTAAGAACTTAAGACAATTTTAACTTGACAAGGTACTGTATGAACCCAACTTTCTGTTCTGTACACTTGTTCAGATAGTGCTGATCTACTGCCAACAGATGGGGCTGTAGCACTGTAGGAGTCCAATTTGTGGCAACAGAACTATAGGGCAGCAACAAAGTCACGTTTATAGGCTGCCGTTTTAAAATGCCGAGCACAAGAGAGGTTCAGATGAACAAGGCCCTTCGGTTCATTTGACTATCATTGTTCCAGAACACCCGCCCTCCCATTTCAGCATCAAACTTCTTTTTAAATTAGCCCTCTGTCCAGGTCCAGCCACTCTTCCTGGTAACCAGCTCCAGTCTATAAGGTCCCCTTTGAGATGGGAATCATCCTCATTGTTTTCCTGTGTCACAGCAATCAGAACTGTACTCCCACAGCTTATACATAGTGAGCGATGAGTCAAACTAACACCCCTAGATTTCTTTCAGCTTTCCCATTGGCACTAGGCCTATATAGGACATTATCGAGTCTGCCCACAAAACCCATTAGCAATGGCTGAGAGTCCACTACACCAAATGCTGGACTTGACAATTGTGGACATCTCCTGCTGGTTAACGGGATACAGGCTTGAGTTTTGGTTCTGTAAGGGGTATCATGCAAGGACACCTTAAACTGACCTCTTTGCCTACTCTCCAGAAAGATCCTGTCTCAATAGATTGAAAGTAGTGCAGCTTAAGCAATGCAGAACATAGCTGTAAACCTGGTTTAGTCTGAAACTCTGTGTCTTAAGAGTTCTTTAGTCTGATCTTAAAACATTGAAGCAAAATGGCCTTACAGGCTAAAACTGGGTACAATTTTGTAGCTCTGTGAGAGATCGGATGAGATGTTAATCCATACAGTCCATACAAATCCAAGTTGTTGTTGTTGTCCTGTCTGCCTGTACAGGTGGACATAAAAGACATCTATGGCTCTATTTGGAGCTTCTCCCAGTGTCATGGCCAACAAATCCCTAAATAAACTTGGTTACTCACTCCATGGCAATTTGTGGGTCATTACTGTGCGCAAATTGTGCAGCCACATTTGCCTATAAAATACACAGTCACTACATTTCACAGTAAATTCTGTAAAGCACTTTGAGATGTTCTTCCAATGTGATAAGGCGCTATATCAAATGCAAGTATTATTATTATTATTGAAACTTTAAGATTCACACTTTATTGGAAGGAGAAATGGTCCCAATAAAGACGCACAATGTGACAAGAGGTCGAAGGCCAGAGATCATTCAAGGATTATCTACGAGCAGAAAACTTGCGTTCTGCCCTTATCTGGGAGTGCGAGGGAGTGCTGGAAAATCTTCTCGAGATACAGTGTTTATAAGTCAGCATGATGAGTAGGCAAACAGAAGAGTTAATGTTCATTTGACATTTTTAATAGATATTTCATTAGTCTGTATGAGGGCAAAGGGTGGGGGCAGATGGAAAGAGCATCATTTTAACAACATTTTCGGCTTGGTACAGCGAGCTTTATAGATTGATCAGTCATTTTTCAAATGTAAATATTTGCTCTGCGCTATGTAGTTATCTTGAACACTGACTGTGCATTTCTCTCTGCTGAACCGATTTGGAATGGCCATCCATGCAGAGCTTATACTGCCACCACTGCACCCTCTACTCCTTGCCCCCACCCCCCCCAACCACCATCGACAGCCGAGAATTCAGTCACCAGGCTCCTGTCCCCCTCCCCAAATCTCTCTGCCTTGCACGCTCTCTGCCTATCTTCAAAACTCCTTCTAAAAAAAAAAATTCTCTTTAACCATTCATCTTCCAATTCACCCTCTTTTCCTGCATGGAGTCCCACATCTACCAAATAAACCATTTTGAGACTTTTCCCTTCAAACCCATAAACTATACAGTCAATTCGCTTTACAATGTATTCTGTGAAGCATTTTGAGACGTCTTGAAGACATGCTGCATTGAAAATGCAACGATTATTACTTAAGGGGAAAATGGTGTTGCTCTCTTGTAGCTATCTGCAGATTCACTGCCTGAAAGCACATTGTCTTTCTGATGAGACATTAAAAACCGAGGTCCCTGTCTACCTGTTCAGATGGGTGATAAAAGATTCCATGGCACTATTCAAAAAGAGATGGGAGTTTCTCTCTCCTTGTGTCCTTGCCAAGAATTGCCCTCTATAACATTGGGCATTCACTCCTTGGCTGTTTGGGGTACAATTCTATGTGGAACTGTCTGCTGCATTTTGGGGAAAAAAAGTCAAATTTGTAAATTTCAAGACAACCACAAAAAATGACATTTGTATAGCGCCTTTCGCTGTCTCAAAGCTAAGACTGTGTGAAGTTGCAAAGCTGTGGTTATTCGATTTGTGACGTACCTTTGCTGTGGCTCCCTCTGCCCCTGCAGTTTGAGCTCCCGCCTCCTTTGCTTGTTCTGCCGTTTCATTTTCTTCTCTCTCACTCACGAGCTCCTCTGTAGGGGATCTATCGTCTCCTGAGGACCCCTGAGGAGGGACGTTTTCTTTGAGGGAACAAGAGAAGACAAAAACACAGGCACAATGAAAATTATTATTTTGCACTTTCTGGTTTCTCATAAATGCACAGTCTGGGTTACCCTAAGCTTTGGCTTTCGTCAACCTGCGCCCAGAATTAGGTAAGCAGGTTGCATTCCTCTAGAGAGAGACTGCGCATTCCATTCCAGATCCGGGGAAATATCCATGCGTAGGTGGTGTATATATGTGGAACTCTAAGTCTGGTTTGGATACTCTTAAAGCATAGTGAAGTGGATAGATTTTCGTTAGGTAACAGTATCAAGGAACATGGAGCAAAGTTGAGGTAAATGGATTTGAGGTACAGATCAGCCATGATGATTCAATAGAATGGCGGAACTGGCTCGACGGCTGAATAGCCTGTTCCCATGTTTCTTTGATGGGTTTCTCAGACATCCAGCTGGCCAAAGTAAAATACACAACGTCTCTGGAATGAAGTTCCCAGGTTCAACATAAATAAGGGCAATATAAACCTTATTTGGTCACTCAATCCACGATTGTTTGTGGGACACTGCTGTGCGCAATTGGCTGCTGTGTTTTGCCTACAAAATATACAGTCACAACACTTTACAGTATATTGTGTGAAGCGTTTTGAGACGTCTCGAAGACGCGATAAGGCGCTATATCAAATGCAAGGATTGTTATAATTATTTATATTGAACCCGAATATGTCATCCAACCTGCAGTGTTTGCAATAGCAAGCTGCGCAGGTTTCACAGGTTAAACTCCAGCAGTTACTCCCAGTGTAACCCCTGGTCCCTAAACCTTGGTGCTTGTCAACCTGTGCTAATACTGTCCAGGATTAGGTAAGAGGAGGACCCATTCCTCTGGGGAGGCAGTGCATACTCCATTGCAGACAAATTTCTTGCATAAGTGGGTTGCTCAGCACAGTACTTTAGTTCAGAGACTCTTAAGCATGGTAATGGATTTCTGTGTGTGTCAGACACTCATCTGACAATGACATTATATCATTGTCTCTCCTCCATTTTCACTACCTTTTTCACTGTCCTGTGCTTTGTGCCTTACCTTCTTGGTTTAACATAGCCTAGGTTGATCCTACAGCCCAGGGCTGAGAGTGCACTGCCTTGTTGGAGGTGCTGTCCTTCGGTTGAGACATTAAACCAAGGTCCCATCTGCCTAGTTAGGTAAGACATTAAAGATCCCTCGGCTATATTTGAAAAGAGAAGGAATTTCTCCCAGTGTTCCAGCCAACAGTCCCCAAGATAAAATCCGTCATTTACTTCATGGTTATTTGCGGGACGTTGCTGTACGCAAATTCGACTTACATAATACAGTTACTACACTTTATTATAAATCGTATGAAGCATTTTGAGACATCTTTCTGACATGAAAGGCACTACACCAAACACAAGGATTATTATTAAGAAGACTAGGGAGCTGGCTCTCTTGAATAATCATAAGTCAGGTTGATTTTGCAGCAGTGATACTGTGAGTTCAACAGTCACCTTAAAACTTAAAGCTTACTTCAGTTTAACTAAAGAAAACACTACAGTTCATCTGAGGGGCAAGAGAAATAAGGATCATGCATGATTTAAGATTGTTTTCAAAGTTGTTTAAAACAGAATAAATTAGAGTGTAAACTGATGTAAAAAGACATTTTAATCGGACTATAGATTTGCAGTCCATCTCACCCCCTCCACACACGTTTTAATTTAACACCACTCCTAGATATGGGTAAAATGTACCACAACTCAAACCAGAGCGTTAGAATCCACCCAACCGTTTGCATACAATGTACACTCAGATATAATGGGCACTAACCCTGGCTTGTAACAATCTGTAAAGCCAGGCTCGCAACACAGAGCTCCCAGTGGGCACCATGCAGCTAAGTTGTCCCATTGTTCGAATATTTTCCAATATACAAAGGCACAAATGTTAAACAACTCGCATTTAGATAGTGCCTTTCCCCTTAAGATTAAACATTCTGAAGTGCTTTGTAAAATATAATCATTATTAATGAAAGTGGATGTTATGTAATAATCCTTGTATTTGAGACATCGCCATATGTTATGGAAACGTCTCAATTATCATTAAGCTTATTTGTATTTGTTGGATAATGTGGCAGCCACCGTGCACACAGCAATGTCCCACAAACAGCCATGAAGTGAATAACCAGTTTCTATCTGGAGGATTGTTGGCCAGGACACCTGGAGAAACTTCCTTCTCTTTCCGAATAGTTCAGTGGGATCTTTGACATTCACTTGAACAGGCAGATGGGACCTCGGTTTAACGTCTAAGATGACACTCCAATGCAGTGCTGGGGGCTTGCTCCATTGTTGGAGGTGCAGTCCTTTGGATGAGACGTTAAACCGAGGGCCTGTCTAATTGTTCAGGTGGATGTTAAAGATCCCATGGCCCTATTCAAAAGAGGAAGAGAGTTTCTCTCTCTCGGTGTTCTGACCGACAAATAAAATGGATCACTCACTCTAAGACTGTTTGTGGGTCACTACTGTACTCAAACTGGCTGTACATTTCGCTCACTAGATACAGTCAATCCACTTTACAGTATATTCAAAGCTCTATGGACGCTATCCTGCGTAAAGGGCACTATGTAAATGCAAATTGTTGTATCATGTGAAGCACTTTGAGATAACTTGATACGGCGCTATATAAAATACAAGGATTATTATTATCTGAAGGACGGCACCTCATATTGGGAATAGGAGGATAACAGGGAGAAAGCTATCAGCTTTCTTTGAAACAGCAATCCATAGCCCTCAAATCACAAGGCAGAGCAGCACCTAAATTAATAATGAGGTCCGAAAATAAAAGGAATCACCAAAAGTGGCTACGCACCTAAATGTTCACCCAAAATTGGGGGTCCCGTCCACCTTTCAAAAACCCACTGGTGTGGTTTTTGGGAAAACAAGTAAAGAAGAGTATTCTGTCACGGAAGACTTAATTTATAACCTGCAGCAAGGTCTGTGAAATTATGAGCAATAAAAATAAAATGAACAGCCTTTTGAAAACTCCCACTGATGTTTCGATTCATAAACCCCACGATTTCTTTTATTCTAGCCGTCACCGAGAATGCATTTATTTTAAATGTCACTGTATTCTCAGATCCATAGGAACATGGTGAGTGATAAAAGAGACCATAAAGGCAATTTACTGCTGAGAGTAAAATTGTGGCTTTGAGTAATTAGACAGAGTTGGTGCTTATGCCTCTGTGCCCTCTAAATGTTAGCCGGTGACATTTACTGCACAATCTCTTCCTTCTCCAGACACCCCTGAAGGCAGTCACACGTGCTGGGCTAACGACACCACAGGCTCCCTCCGCTACTTCGCCCGATTCATCCCACTCAGCTCCTGTTAACCCTGCCTAGCGAAGCCCTAACGGGTAGGGTGGTCTTAGCTGGAAAATCAGTGGGAAAGCTTACCAGGCAGTGCTCTCAATGGCAAGCTACTTGGTTTTAGCTGGTTAGACTCCAGCAGTTACCCCAATGCAAAATGTGGGGTCCCCAAGCCTTGGCTCTTGCCGACCTGTGCCTAATTTTTTCTGGAATTAGGTAAGCAGGATACGTTCCTCTGGGGAGAGAGTGCGCATCCCATTCTAGATCTGGAATTTCTGAGTGCAGCTGGTGTACGTATGTGGAATTCTCAGTTTGGGTTTGATACTCTAAGCATGGTGATGGGTTTCAGTAGGTATCAGACACCCAGTGGACCAAAAAACCCCAACTCGCCTGAGTGATCATTCCCCCCCACCACCATGCACATGAGCCACAGGCAGAGAGTGAGGGCGCGCTGTCTGACTGTGTGGCAGAGTTCCACCACACAGGAGAGAGGCTGCAATGTATCTACACTTGAGTTTTTTTCCCCAACAGCCGCTCAATCTCATCCCACTCTATGTTCGCTGCCCTGCGACCTTTAATAAAACAAGCCCGATTCTGTCCTCACCTGAGACTCACAGCTGTTTGTACGCGATGTGCTGCTGGTTCTCCTACAAATACACAGCGACTACATTTCACAGTATATCCTTGTGATGCGCTTTGAGTCGTCCTCCTGTTTGACACTAATACCAAATTCAAGGACTATTTTTAGAACCATTTTCAAGCAGGGATCGGTGGATATCATTCAAGAAATCTGGCTGATCTTACTACCACCACCACCACCAATACTCTTCCTACCCAGCCCAAGGCAATGAACAACTGCCGTGCCTCCCCCTCCTGCCTCCCCACCTAAGATGATAATCCTTGCAACTTGATATTGAGCTTTTCATGTCAAAACATCTCAAAGAGCTTCACAGGGAATTACCTACAGTAATAATACCAATGCATGTAATACCACGCATTATCTCGTGTTGAGACATCCCAAAGCTCTTCACAGGATTTACTTTGACTATTGTGTAGGCGAATGAGGCAATTTTGCACATTGTAACCACGGAGTGAGTGACCAATTTTATTTGGGGGATTGTTCCCCAGGACATCAGGAGAGAAACTCCCTTCTCTTTTCAAGTAGTTTCCGTGGAATCTTTATTGTTCACCCGTACAGCCAGACAGGAACCTCGGTTTAATGTTTCATCTGAAGGACAGTACCTCTGATAATGCAGTGCTTCCCTCAGCACTGTACTGGAGTGCCAGCCTAGACTGTGAGCTCAAGATCCCTGACATGGGGCTTGAACCCACAACCTTCTGATCTGGAATCTGAAGTGTTTGCGATTGCGTGAGACTGATACAGTAAAACTCGCATAAATCTTATCTTTATCAATCGTATAATTACCTAGGCCGTGCATTCTTCCGTTTCGTATCAAAACTACTTAAGATTTTTTTTGCACGACTTGTATCGATCACCTCCTAATGCCGCTCCCCTACCATCCATTACTCCCACACTTACCGGCTGCAATTGAAACACAAGAAACGCAGTCCTGATCCATCAACGCATGCGCAGAAGAACTTTGTTTCCCGCAATCCAACGCTTGCCGGCAAGTACGCATGTGGCGACAGGTCATGATGCATTGAATCGGGGGAAACATAGTCTCGGCCTGTCAACCAAACCAGATGCATTGAATTGCGCATGTGCAGTGTAGATTATTAATAAAATCGCATTTTATACGACTTGTACAAGTTTACCTGCAACTCAGACTTCGCGTAAATCATATTAAAAGTTATGGTCCCGACTGATACGACTGATGTGAGTTGTGCTGTACTGTAAATGAGCAAACTCAACACGGACGGATGATCAAACCAGTGGAGCACAAGCCTGGAGCCATTGAAACTTTTCACACAGGAATTACTGTACAGGGTAATGACTTACCTACAGTAATAATTATAATAATTACTTGCATTATTATTAGCAGTAACCATGTCACAATCTTACCTTTGTTACGGGCTTCGTTCAGCTGAGCCGCCAAATCGAACATCATTTCGCAGACCGTGACACTGGAAAACACAGCCAACAAACAGCGTTTACTTCCTTTTAAAGAAATGCCAGGTTAAGAAGTAACTGTCTTTTCACTTTGTGAAGTATATGTCTATAATTACAGCCATCACACTTTACAGTAAATCCCACAAAATCTCCTATGAAATAATAATACTTACATTTGATATAAGTGCCTCATCAAGTTATTTTGAAGTCTCAAAGCGCTTCTATTTAGAAGACTATAGCGCTAAATAATAAATAATTATAATAATCCTTGTATTTGATATAGCACCTTATTGTGTTGTTGAGATGTCTCAAAGTGCTTCACAGATTATACCGTAAAGTGGAGTGACTGTATTTTGTGGGCAAAGAGTGACAGCCAGTTTGCACACAAGCAACGTCCAACAAACAGTCATGGAGTGGGTGACCAGTCTCATACGTTGGCTGTAGGACAAATCAACCCTCTGCTTCCTTCCTTCTCTTTTTCACTGAGGCAGAAGCTAAGGGACTTGCTCTCTCCTATTGACCCCAATAATTAGTTCACCGTGGGACCATGTGCAAGAGTCATCTGAGGAAGTCTCTCACCATCGCTGGAACAAACTGTCCGATTGAAGCATTTCACATTTAACCAAGGTTCCATCTTCTTTTAACAAGAGGACATTAAAATTCCCAGGACACTATTTGTAGAGAAGAGTGTTTATCCTAGTGTCTGCCACATCCTTTTCCCCTCTTGAAAGATTTAAAGGCACAGCAGGGAGTCGGGGTGAGAGTAGAGAGCTCCTTTGGGAGAGTGAGCAGCAGCACAGACATGATGGGGAAAGAACGGGTGAATGGGATTAAGAGCAGAGAGCTCCCTGTTAGGGCACTCGCCTGATTAAAAAGTTGCAAACAGAAGAGACATCCTACCTGCTGATCTCCGCAAAGCCTGGGACGTAAGCCTCCATCATTTCCACAAACATTTCCACGTCGAAGTTCTCTTCAGAGCAGTATGGGGAGCCGAGTTCCTCCAGCACCCCCGTGATGTAGGAGAGCACCACCTCATCTACCACACTGATGACGCACATACAAACACAAAACACAAGGCCAGGCAAAGTTAGCCCACTGGCAGCACACTCTCAGAGCAACATATAGACAATACGTCACAGAAGGCAATTCATAATCTGGTTACATTAGACCAGGGAATCTCCAACCGATCGATCGTCGCTAAGTATCTCACGCATGCTCAATAAAGATTTCACCCGCAAAGTACAGACAGTCCACTTTACAGTATATTCTGTGAAGCGCTTTGAGACGTGATAAGGCGCTAGATCAAATGCAAGGATTATTATTATCATTATAAAGAGGAAGGAGTGATGTTAACTCCAGTTTTAACAATCAACCACACTCGCCTACAAAATACACAGTCACTACATTTTAAATCCTGTAAAATACTAAATACTGTGAAGTGCTTTGAGACACCTTGTGATATGGCGTGTGTGCCAAGTGTAAGGATTATCATTGTTATCACCCACCTGAGGTCAGCACCAGGGACGTACAGGTGAACAAACTCAGTCAACGATTTGTGAATAAGTTTGTCTAGTGCCATGCTTCCAACAGGCAAAGAATGAGCAGGTTAAAACCTAAAGACAAGACACTGTTATAAGTCCAGGGTCAAGACAAAAACATTAGTTCTGAAGCAAAACAGCGACCCTTCATCTTTGTACTTGTTGCTTGTGTAACTTCCTCCCACACACCCTTCAAGGTTACTAGCAACTTGCCCCAACAAAAAAAAACTTTTTTTTTGCTGCAATCAGATTATTTAACATGCAAAAAGTGTCAACCATGCATGTTGTGTGTCAGTCTGGCTCAGTGGTAAGCACTCTTGCCTCTAAGTCAAAAGGTTGTAGGTTCAAGCCCCACGTCAGGACTTGGAACCACATAGTCTAAGCTGACACTCCAATGTAGTACGGGGGGGGGGGGGTGTTGCATTGCAGAAGATGCTGTCCTTTTCGGATGTGACGTTAAACCGAAGTCCCATCTGCCTGTTCAGGTGGTTATTAAAGATCCCTTGGTAAAAAGAGAAGAGAGTTTCTCTCTCCCGGTGTCCTGGCCAACAATCCCCCCAAAAATATTGGTCACTCACTCTGTGGCTGTTTGTGGGACATTGCTGTGCGCAATTAGCTGCCGCGTTTTGCCCACAAAACACACAGTCAATCCCTTCAGCGGTCCTTGTTTTACTCCATCTTTGTGCTAGAGATGATCAGCACACTCACTTCATGTCCTTGATGAAGGATACTATTCTGTCCAAGGCGTTTAATAGTCCTTTCCTTGTAACTCTAAATCATCTGTCCAGTCTATATATAAACCAGCAATTTCAATACATCTTGTATCCATTATAAAATCATAGAATGTTTACAGTTCATAAAGAGGCCATTTGGCCTATCACGTCTCTGATGATCCTAACTTCCCCGCTGTATCCATGTATCTAACCCATTCCTTTTGCTATTTCCCCAACTTGTTTGTACTGATACCATCAAATCCTATTGCACCCAATCACTTTAATCCCATTCCATTGCTCTGCTCCATTTCATCTGTGCTAATGCTAGTTCCCCTCTACTGTACCAATCCACCGTAATCCCACAAAATTCCCTCCCCTCGCCAAACAACAACATCCCGCCCCCACTTGCTCTTTCCCAATCGGGTCCATGTATCTTTCCCTATCAAAATTACCTACTCTAATCCCATTCTCCTGCTTTCCTTTCCTCTTCACCCCCATTGTGTTTGAGCTGGTACAAACTCACCTACTGTTTCGTAAGCGAGAGCACCCGGGTTCGAGTCCCGGCTGGAGCAAAACCTTAGGCAAATTTATTTACTCCACTAGTTTACCTAGCAGTAAATTGTTACTCAATTGGTGGATTGTTTTCAGGGGGTAATAATCCCTGAAAAAAAATTGGGTCACTCAATCCATGACTGTTTGTGGGACATTGCTGTGCGCAACTGCCTGGCACGTTTTGCCCACAAAATAAACAGTCAATCCACTTTACAATATATTCTGTGAAGTACTTTGAGATGCGACATCCCACAACAGTCGTGGATTGAGTGACCACTTTATTATTATTATTATTTTGAAGGCATTAATACCCCCGGAAAAGCGATTTGCCAATCGTCTAACAAGCGGATTCCTACTTACTGTAGGTAAACAGAGGTATGTGTGTGGGAGTGATTTATCAATGGAACAACGGAAGGAGTGGGTTTAAGGTGAGGGTGTGTGTGAGAGTGAGACAATACAGTAATACTGTATTGTCTTAATATAATAATTAAGTTAATGCAGTGCTGGTTACTCAGTGGTTTGGCAATCTGTCCCACAGTAAACAAGTAAGCCAAATGCAAAAGCAACCAAGGTATATTTTCCCCCCACGACAAGTTACATTTGATAAAGCGCCTTTCACGTCGGGAGGATGTCCCAAGGTGCCAGCGATTTGGACCCGAGCAGAGGACTGGGATCAGGAGAGGTGGAGGGCAGGGAGAGTGTGGGGGTGGGGTGGGGTTGCAGGAGGATGGCAAGGAGGGTCTTGAGACGGGCCTTGGAGGATGCAAGTGAGGAGGTGAGGCAAAGGGACTGTGGGAATGGAGTTCCAGAGGGTGGGAGCAGAGAGGCTGAAACTTCTCTCCATATACCCACCTCCCACCCAAGCTCCTGCCCAGATTACACCCCACCCCCTCCAACCTTCCCTCCTGATTACAACCCCCACCCCAACAATACCACAAGCTTCCTGTACCATTGCAACCCCCACCTCCCCCCTTACACACACACACACACACACACTGCCGTGGATATTGCAAACCCTCCAACCTGCAAGCGACCCTTGCATTGCAACCCCAACAAACCACAAGCTTCTCTTTGTTATTGCAAACCCCCCCCCCCCCCCACCCACCACCCCCCCCGGCTCAGTACTCACAGCGAGAGGCTGCCGAGTGCAGGGACCTGTCCGCTGAGCGATGCTGTGGCTCCTGCTGTCACCCTCCCCTTCCGGATACACTGTAACTGCTGATAGATGGAGCACTTGCACCAACTCGTCACCACAGCCCCTGTTTGTTACCCTGAGATATCACACTGACACACAGCCGTGCAATCTCTTGCATTTTATATACCAAACCATCTGCAACTTGATGGTGTTGCAGAATATATATATATATATACATATATATAATGCTATAAATATATATATATTATATATACATACCCACACTCTATGTCTGGTATTTCATGTTTTTTAATAAAAAAATCACTTATTATTATTGGTAATACTGCACTAATAATCCTTGCGTTTAATACAGCGCCTTGAATATCACGACATCGAGACGTTTCAAAGCGCTTCTCAGGATATATTGTGAAGTTGGTTGATTATATTTTGTGGGGGGAGTATTTAATATTTATTCATTATTACCACTAATTAATATTAAACATGTTATTTAATGGAGGGGGCTTCAAGGCTTGTGAAAATGTCGTATTTAAGTAGTAATTATTAATAACCACGACGTCTCAAAGTGCTTCACAGGATATACTGTAAAGTGGATTGACCTGTGTATTTTGTTGGTGAAACATGGCAACCAATTGCACACAGCAATGTCCCACAAACAGCCATGCAGCGAGTGACCAATTTTATTTGGGGGATTGTTTGCCAGGACACTGGGAGAGAGAAACCCTCTTGGTGGTGTTATGAGATCTTGATAAACTCTAACTTCTGCAAATCTTACATATGCGATTGCTCTTACAGTTATTACCTTCTGTAGTGGGTGACTGGTCTGTCGTGAACACTATGGAATTGGAGGTCCTTCTTACTGCTGTAGTAGGTAACCTTTCACATTGCTATCTTGCATCCCTACAAATTACAGTCTGTGTCACTTTTGGTCAATGCACACATTTCAGTGACCCATCCCATGGGTAACTCCTATACAGTAAACTTTAAATAGGTTGCGATCATACATTTATAATAATAAATAATAATAATTACCCTTGCATTTTGATATAGCGCTTTTCACGTCTTCTAGACATCTCAAAGCGCTTCACAGAATTTACTGTGAAGTGAATTGATTGTATATTTGTGGGTGAAATGCGCCAGCCAATTGCGCACAGCAGTATCCCACAAACAGTCGTGGATTGAAGTGACCAATTATATTATTGTTTTTTATAATATGACTTATACAAAGTATGATTTATGTCAAACTTGCATAGAATACAAATCTTGAACTGGATATGGGCATATAGACAATTTAGGCGATTATACGATTTATACGGATCAGAGTTATTCGGGTTTTACTGTACTGTCTGAAAATGCTGGTGTGCTGGAGAGCAATCAATGTTGCTGATAGACATTTGCGTTAGCTGCTGGCACCCTCTGTTGGTGAAAAACAGCCAACTGCATATTTGAACATCTTATTAGTGTGTCAATATGCTTCAATACCTGTCAATAAAAAAAATGTGCTCTTTTATAACACCTTATCACTTATCACAATTTACCCACAGCAATGTCACACAAACAGTCGTGAAATTAATGATCAGGGATGGAGTGATTTTATTTTCTCTGGAGGAGCGTTGGTCAGGGAGAAACTCTGTTCTGTTCTCGAATATTGCTTTGGGATCATTAACATCCACCAGAGGAAGACAGACAGACTTCCAGACTTCCAGACTTACCAGACAGTTTAACATCTCGACTGAAAGACAGCCCCTGTAACAATGCAGGGTTCTCTGAATAATGACGTGGAATGTCAGCCCAATCTAGTTGAAGGCTTATGCAAAAAGACCAAGGCTAGCTCATGGCAGACTGTTATGACGTACATTGGGTGTCATCCTGACTCAGTTGGTCGTACTCTCGCTTATGACATAGAAGAGCATGTGTTGAAGTCCCATATCAGGACTTGGAACACACCTAGTCTAGGCTGACACTACAGTGCAACATTACAGGCATGCTGCACTGTCAGAGGTGCTGTCTCTCACGTGAGCTGTTAAACTGAAATCCCGTCTGCCTGTTCAGGTGGACGTTCAAGATTGTACAATCTCAAAACTCCCAAAGAGTTTTTCTCGGTGTCCTGGCCAATAACCCAACATAAAAAGAAAAGGTCAGTCATTTGACGGCTGTTTTTGAGACATTGCTACTGTATGTGCAAATCGATGGTTGCATTTGCCTTTTAAAATTCACGGCCACTACTCTTTACAGTATATCCTTTGAAATGCTTTGACACATCCTCCCAAAGTGAAATGTGCTAAATCTTCAGGTTAACATCTCCCACCAGCTGACTCACATCTAACAAAGAAGTGCTTGCTCACCGTTGCATTGGAATCGCAGTTTAGATTGGGATCTGAAGACTTGGTGATGAACTTGAACCCACAATCGTCTGGTCAAGAGTGCTACTCAGCACTGGATTACTGTGATCATGTTTTGCTGATGACATAGAATCGCGTGAGCACTGTTTGTGCTTGCAGTTCGCTTCTTCGGTTACAAAGTTAATATCAAATAGCAAGTCACGGGATCAGCCTCAAAGATAGTCATGAAGAAACTTTTGAGATTTTGTTCTGTGACTGAATGCTAACTGATGGACAAAAATGTTGCTTTGCAAAACATTCCTTAAATGTCTTTACTGAAATAATCCTAAAACGCTGGCTCAATTGGATCCAACAATCCATCTCATTTGAACGTGTTTGGGACGTCCCCCCAATGTGAAAGGTGTTATACCAAGTGTAAGGATTAATCTGTTAGGACTTTGAGCTCACAGTCCAGGCTGATACTTCACTCTGCTGGATTGTTGGAAGTGCTTTCCTAGCGATGAGAAGTCAAATTGAGGTCCATCTACCTGTTCAGCTGGACATCAAAGATCCAGTGACACTAGTGGAAAGGAAAAGGGAGTTTTTACTAGTCATCAATCCTCCAGACAGACTGATCGTTCATCTTATGGGAATTTGCTATGTATATATTGATCGCTACATTTGTAGCAGTTACCTGGGAAGCATTTCAATGTTCTTGGTGCTGCATCAAGTGCAAGGATTATTATTTCTTCCTCATATCCGCGCCACAACTGGCACCGCCTTCCATCACCTCCGAAACATCGCCAGACTACGGCACTACCTCACCCCTCACGCTGCTGAAACTCTGGTCCACGCCTTTATCACCTCAAGGCTGGACTATGGGAACTCTCTCCTCGCCGGCCTTCCCGCACCTCCCTCCACAAGCTGCAGGTCATTCAGAACTCTGCAGCTCGTGTACTGTCCCGCACCAGGCTTCGGACCACATCACACCCACCCTTGCTCGCCTCCACTGGCTCCCCATCCCCCAGAGGATCGAATTCAAGATCCTCATCCTCACCTACAAGGCCATTCACGGCCTTGCTCCCTCCTACCTCTCCGACCTACTATCCCCCTACTTACCTGCCCGTACCCTCTGTTCCTCTGGCTCTGGTCTGCTCCACATCCCCCACCCCAACCGCCCTACCATCGGTGGCCGGGCCTTCAGCCTCTCAGCCCCGAGGTTCTGGAACTCCATCCCCCAGTGCCTTCGCCTTGCTTCCTCCCTTTCCTCCTTCAAGACTGGTCTCAAAACCTTTCTCTTTGACCGTCCGTGCCTTCAGCTCCCCTCTCGACTCTCTACCCCTTCCTTGCTCCCTCCCTTCCCTCCCCTCACCCTGACCATTTCCCCCCTGCTCGGGTCCCGACCCAACTGTCCAGCGCCTTGGGACATCCTCCTGACGTGAAAGGCGCTCTATAAATGGAATCTTGTTGTTGTTGTATTAACATTAACTTATATTATCAATAGAACATTATGTGTTAGATCCTTACTGTGCAGTATTTTTTCTTACTCAATTGGTCCTACTCTTATGTCTGAGTCAGAAGGTTGTGGGTTTAAGCCCCACATTGGAATTTTGAGCTCACAGTCGAAGCTGATACTCCAATGTAGTCCTGGGAAGCATTGCATGGTCGGAGGTGCGGTCCTTTGGATGAGACGTTAAACCGAGGCCCGGTCTGTTCAAGTGCACAACAAAGATCCCTTGGCACTACTAGAAAAGAGAAGATAGTTTCTACTGGTGTCCTGGCCAAAAATCTTGGGTTGCTTCCTTCAAAAAAAAAATTAGTCACTCAATCCACCACTGTTTGTGGGATACAGCTGTGCACAATTGGCTGCCACGTTTTGCCCACAATATATGTACAGTCAATTCACTTTACAGTATATTCTGTGAAGCGCTTTGAGACGTCTCAAAGACGTGTGATAAGGTGTTATCTCAAATGCAAGGATTATTATTATTAATATCGAGTGACCAGCGGCCTCGACCTGAGGGGATGAGCTGGGCTAAAACTTGAGGGGAAACAGCACCAGAAATCTAATGTACATGGGCACCCCCCACATCCCCTTAATGTGCAGCGCTCAGTGTACGTGAGTATCTTGCAGCTCAGTGCCTGTAAGGGCACTTGCATACAATTGCACAGCCTGATTCCGAAGCACTCACTACAGAAGTTTCACGTGTTTTGCGCTTGGCTATTTAACACTTGGAAGATTCCGTTCGCTTAGCATTGGGGAGAATTATCTTTCTTTGCCGTGCTAAGAAATGACCTGGTAATAACAGCCTCGTAGTAATTTCATGCTTATTTTATTTTGCCTTTCTAATCATGATCCTTTAAATGGCAAAGACGGGATTCCATCAATTCACATGACAGGGTTTGATTTAGTAAGTCAGAGCTGTGTGCCTGGCTTGATTGATGACTGGGCACTCCCAAGAACTCCTCCTGCCTGATTACAGGACGAGCTGCAGTCACACACATTTATACAACTGCAGGCTCCGCCAAATCATCCCGTGGATGCACCTTCAAAATACGAACCTGGCTGTTCAAGTAGGAATTAGCCCAAGCCCAGTGTCTGTTAAACGTGTGTCTACGTTATAGACTGAACTTGTTTTCTGCCTGACTTGTCGTTCCCCACAAACCTGTCCAGATGTATGTTAAAGATCCTGTGGATCCCTATTCGAAAAGAGGTGGCAGTTTCTCCCGGTGTCCTGGCCAA